GCCCGTGTGGTCAAAGGGAATTAACAATGAGTTTTTTATCATATGTGACACATTCCTGGTGCAAGGATAAATAAGTAACAGTTCCACAGTTAAAAGATACTAAGAGGAACCCGATGTAACGTTGACCGCAGACAAAATATACGTACACTGGAGCTTTAACCTAACCTCAATAGAAGTGTGCTGGTGTATGTGTTTTGTATCCCGCTTGCGTATACAGCCAATTTTAACGTGGAGAGCGCGTATGATGTGATTTTTTTCTTTTGATGTGTTTCCAGCCATACGCAGCTTAAGAGACAGAACTGCACTTTTTAATACGCTACTGTAGACGTCATTACATGTCTTTCCGTTTGGGAATGGAATGTAAAGATTCTGAGCCAAGTGTTCAGAATCTTTACACTCCATTCCCATATGTAGTATATTCACACACGTGAATATACTACATATAATTGACCTTGGGGAAGCACGAATTTTCTAGGTTCACCACCGCTACGTTTAATGTTTGCGCGGGGGTTTTTTAATGGTCATAGCGAAACAAAGCTTAAAAGGAAATTACAGCCTTTTGAATTGGAATGGAAGATCTGTAGAATGAGTAGAATTATAGATATGAAGTGCTCTGATCTGTGCGTACTGACAAATACTCTGTCGTATCTCGTGATATTTCATCCAATATGTCTGAATTTGTTTGGTTTAACATATTAATTTTTAAGTGCTAGAATCGCCTTTTCACATAAAAATTATCTCCACCCACAAAAATCATACCGAAAAATCCCTCCGTTGCGACGTGAATGAAGGACAAACCAACCCACTTCCGCATTTATTACGTTAGACTAGCGACCCGCCCCGGCTTCTTACCGGTGCAATGTATTATACATATAAACCTTCCTCTTGAATCGCTCTATCTAGTAAAAAAACCGGATCACGATCCGTTGCGTAGTTTTAAAGATCTAAGCATACATAGGCAGCGACTGACAGACAGCGGCACGACTTTGTTTTATACTAAGTGATAACTCCTTGGCTCAGTTGACAAGGTATTGGCTTCGGCGTCGGTCGTCGTGGTTTCGATTCCCACAGGGGACTATTTGTGTGACCCACAGATAGTTGTTTCGCATCTGGGTGTTTGTGCGCGTGAAATTTATGTTTGTAAAACGTTCTTACAACACAGAATAATGTAATCCTAAAGTAAGGGCAATGTTTTAAAAAAACAATAGTAATAATGAAAATAAACTTAGTGGCGCAGTTGTTGATCTATTGGCTTTGATACCGGGGATAGTGGAATCGATTCCCAAACGGGAAAAGTATTTGTGTGACCCACAGTTAATTGTTCCGAATTACGGTGTTTGTTCCCAAGGAGGGTTGACGTCAGGCAGACGGCCGGTCATAAAAACCTAGCCGAAACCACTTACAACATGATTCACATGTTATGTCGACCCCACCTAGGTGGGATAAGGGCAGAAGGATCATGATGATGATGATGAACAAGAGTTCCAGTTTCACTTATTAATAAGGATACCACAAAATAAATGAATCCAAAAACAACCTAGAACTTCTTTTGTTCACTAAACCTACGTTTTTTAATTAAATAAAAACACGTAGATGCCATATTACATTATGATGCTTATTACATACATTACATATATTATTATGTTATCAAAATTGGACAATGACAAAGTAACGTAAAAGTAATAGCCAGTTATGTGTCACTGCAGAGCAAACGTCTCTAATAATATTATATTTATTATTTACAAGGGTATTAGCGCATAGTCCACCACGCGACCCCAATACGGATTGGCAAACTTCACGTCTTCGAAATATTTTTAATTAATATTTCGAAAATATGCTGGTTTCCCTTAACTACCGACGAGCACGTGATAAATCAGGACGTTAAATTGCAATTAATAATTTCATGCACTGGCATTTGAACACAAGTACCTATACTGGAGTATATTGATTTAACATACCCGGAGACTGAGCTATCCCAGCTACACACTAAAACATACCAAACAAAAAAAACTAGTCTAAAACGTTCAACCTACCTACTTCAAGTGTATTTTATAACGATACTAGCGGACCCGGCCAACGCTGTCCTGCAAACACAACTGAAATCCCAAAACAGCTTATAAATAAAAAAATGTGGACCGAACTGTGAAACTAAACCATTTTCGAATCGACCTCAAAATTACATCACATATTTATTACTGATTTTTATCAAACAAACTTAAGAAGCTATGAAATTTATCTGCCCAAAAATAAAAAAATTATTTGATAAAATGCTGGTTCTCAAGACGCCATGTAGCCGACAGATAAATTCCAACGAAATGTACAAAATGTGCGTGTGACAGAAGGACGGTTGATTGCGATAAAATCTCTTTTTAACTGCATGTCAGATCAAAGAGCAAACAGAATTCTCGTCATATAAAATTATCGTTCATATAATATTTCATTAGTTGCATAGTTTCTAAACAAAACGACATTCATCCTAAACATGATAGTACGTTTGACTTGGGCATTTAATTCATAGCCAATACTTAAGTACAGGGAAAGTTTCATTAAACGTATGGTAAACCTATTTACTTAGTGACGGAAATCGGTGCGTGTACTTCGTATTAAAATGAAAACAGATTAGTAATCTTGACGAATTCACGAATTACCGCGTAAACTAATGAAACCGCCACGCCGCCCATTGTCCGGCTAAACACGGCGCGCGCCCGGCATACTTACGCCGCGGATTTATCACGCGCTCCCATAAACGTATTCACACAGCAAATTGATCTCGACACAATGCACGGGAGCACAAATGCTTTCGGGCTCTCCATGCTACAAGCGTTTAGTGGACACTGAAAAATATTTATTTATTTTCTTTAACGTTAATGCTAACAACTTCTGCCTTCGTGCACGGGAATTTGTTTTTTTTATTTGTGAGTATACGTAGAGCGATTTAAATACGTTCTATACTAAGCTAACCCATATTAATTAAATAACCAGCATTCAATATTATATTGGATGTTAAACATTCAATTTTAAAGTATTATTAAATAAGTCCACTTACGGTCGTACTCAAAGACGTCGTCTAGTGGAATCTTATTGTGTAGGTAATTGAACTTCGAAGATGAATGGATTTTATGACAGTTAAGTGTCAGTCGAGCCGTGATAGCTCGTTGTCTGGGCGCTTACTTTTAATTCTATATACTCGAGCAACCTGAGTTCGATCCCCGGTACCAGCACCAAAGAAATTGTTAATTTTAAGTGCTGAATTATCATACGCTAAACGGTGAAGGAAAACATCGTGAGGAACCCTGCATATTTTAGAAATAATAACAAAAAAATAAATTTGAAGATATGTGAAGTCCGTTTGTTGTAATCTGTGGTTATCAAATTGAGAATAGAATAAAATTGTTCAAACTTATAATTTAAAAAATTAATTATGGTCGAATTTCGACCAGTGGGCGACCACTAGTTTGTCCTAAATTTCACTCATGTCTTTATGGTAGCAGACTAGGTTTTCCAGTTTTGGAGGAACTTTTAGGTCCCGCTAGAGATATTGTGAACATTATGGTTTCAATACAGCGTTCCGCCAATAGAAATGTATACCTATGCATTTGATTGAGTTCATTTCCAAATAAATAAAATTTTATTTTGGTCATTCACACAACAGAACATTTCATAATCATTTATAGGATTTTGAAATCAGACTAAACCATAACATAAACTGTTTTTGGACAAAAAAAATTTATTGTTTATGGATTCATAACAGATCCACTAAGACGCAATATTGTATTAAGATTTTTTAGTCAGTTTTTATATTATGATTGTTACCTTATGTAAAGTCAAAAGTCATACGATAAAGGTGGTCTGTATGCTTATGGTTTCATATAATAAAGAATAGGCATAAATACGAGAAATCGTTATGTGAACCAAAACTTGTATTTATATACCGAGAGATCACAAAGGCCGGACTTTAGATATTTATTTTCATTTAAATCAGGCTCAGTTGTTCGTTATAAGGGCCGCAAGCGAGTGGACAAATATGGCTGATTACAATCTCCTCAAAACTGTATTAAAAGACGAATGGTCCGTAACTCGCTTACCTTTAATACTTTAACCACTGTGACTCACTGTCTGTGGGCGCGGTACCTCCCCGAACGGACTAGTAAGTTTTTCCAGACTTATGCTTCCAAATATGTTGTCTCATGCCAGAAGTTCTTCGATATGAATATATCACCGTAATGTAAGGCACGGACAAGTTAAGGCCGGCAGTTTTAGATACGTACTTCTACAACTATGTTATGATAATCTACATAATTGTAACCTATTTTTTTTTATTATATACTTATTTTAACCTTATATCTTTTATTGTAATGTTCAATAGTGGTATATTTCATGAGCCATTTTTATCGCCGTAGCGGATTCCTGTCCCACAATCAGTGGCGGATTCTCACAATGTAACGGTATTCGTATAACCTCAAGAAAATTTTCAGGATCAGTGTTTGTATGCAGTTTGAGTGTGTAAAAATGTCTGTACAACATAGAAATATCATAAGAGTATGGCAGATAACCCACTAACTAGTAGTAATAGGGACTATGGTTAGTGGTCTAGCACTACTGCTCTAGTCTTATACCCATCAAAATGTAAAATAAAAAGGAAAGTAAACATTATATATGCAATAAAACAGCAGGTTGTAGTAAATATAGCAAGTCTAAATGTGTCGAAAGCTTGATAATCTTTTACTGACTCAAGCCGCGATTGTCCATGTAAGGGTTGATATATTATCTGGAGACATGAAAAAATTGCGCAATTACTATAAATTTGGATACACGCGGTGTTAAAATAAACAGGCGACGGGATAAAGCACATTTAAATGAGGCAATTTGTTCCGCGCTACCAATTATGGGATTTTTTCTCGGTGAATATTTTTGTTATTTTTACAAATATCTACTTTTTAAACAATTTATCATCATGTCTCTGTTTATGGGCTTTAAATAAAAAAATCTCAGTTGGAAAAATGGAGACGGGCATCTTAAGTATTCAAATGTATGCTAAGGGGCTATTCTGACTTTTATCTGCCTTGAAATTGTAGAACAAATGGTTTGTGCTCTTTTGTGAAGTGAACTGAAGTGGAAGAAATGTTCTACGTCACCGTCCGAGCATTATAAAAGCAAGGGCCGCCGTCACACCTCATCACAAAATCGTCTTACAACACCAGATAAGGTAGGGAGTTGTTATATCTTTTTTCTTAATCCTGACAACCGTCCTAAACAGAGAGATCTTATTTTTTTCACTATCTTGTTTTGAAATACTGCCGCACTAGAAAATAATTCCTATTTCGCAGAAGTTGTCACATATTCCACCCATCTTCTTTCAGATGATCGATAAACGAACACCTCATGGCCTCCTTGCGATGTTTTTATGCTTTTGGTGGATCATTATATCGGTGAGCGCATCCAACACCCGCTGTAAACTCAAACGGTACTCCCACAAAGCTTTGCAGACGGACCTCAACGGGAGGCGATGCTGGGATGAGGTGATAATCGGCTCGTGTTGGGGATACTGCTTGTCTTACGAGGTAACAATGGACAGTTATTGAAATCGCAACCAAATTTGAAGGTGTTCCCTGGTTTATCGCAAATTTATCTCATTAAAACGCATGCATCTCAGGCATACTATCTTATTTTGTCGTAGATCTCGCACTGGCAGTTCCCATATAAGGAATCCCATCATCCAGTATGCGTTCATGGCGAACGCCGACCCGCATCTGTTAAGCTACAAAACTGCGACCCTGGAGTACAACCTGGCACTAATATCTATCACTTTGTTGAGGCCGTTAACTGCAAATGCCAGGTAAGGCGGGAAAATTGTTTAAAGGCACTCTTTTGTCACTCTTTTCTCTTTCTTGTGTTTGCATAAGATTCTTTATTTGTATTAAAATAAAAATAAAATATTCATCGACATAAGAAACATACATTTCATCTATCAATAGTCATTTTAGCTCCGAAGTTATCTACCACCGTTTCCTACTGAGTTTTCTCTAACGGAGAAGAAACAGGCCAAAGAAACTCTGATGAAACTGTATTTTTTACCTCAAAACATTAAAATATTGTACCTACAACTTTTTTCTTTTATAAATAGCTTGGGTATTTATTTATAATGTAATAACCCTACGTATTATAATGACCCTTTTGTAAAAGTTTTTTTTAATACATTTATTAAACTTGTAAATAGGTAGGCTTTGCGCATTTACTGGGATTTTTTTGTAGAAGCGTATATACCTTTGAGCGAGTTACTTACTCTATCTATGGAGTCTACTAACTGGCGTTAGATGCTTGTGTTTGTTCCTAATATTGTAATAGGTACAATAATTGTAAATCAGTATTATTATTCGTGGTTAACAAATAATTTCACCCCTCACTTCACGCTTCGTGCCAAATCAAGGTTTTGGATAAGAAATTTATTTTATTTGAATTTATTTATTTCAAATTATAATAAATTATTGTTTATTTTGCTTGTGAAGTTTTGAGAACTTGCTTAATTCTTTATTTAAGTAACAAGCCAACCATTAACCTGGGTGTTTCCAAAATCTTAAACATTTTATGGTGAAACTGTTTCGAGATTTTGCACAATAGTCGATAGGAACGTATTCGATGTAGACTTATGCTTATTACAATTATTTAAACCATTTATTCATTTTGGAGAAGACAAATAGTAGTCATCATTTATAATTCCCCTCAGTTATAAAATATAAATGCATCAGACACAAAACTTTTTTGCAAGTAAGACTTGGTTTTTTAATTAAACAATACACTATCACGTTTTTATCACGAACCGACCATAGGAATGGATTATTAGGTATTATCTAATTGTCATAGAAAACCATATTTTTATTGTTCTATTTTTTTTGTGAAAAGTTGCCAAGCGAGCAGAGGGTCACCTGATGTTAAGTAAATACCGCCGCCCATAGACATCTGCTAAACCCGAGGGTTGCAGATACGTTGACAACCTTTTGAAAATTGGCCTCCGGCTAACTCACCCGCCAGGCGAAACACGATCGCGTCATCGATAAACTTCCATATCTGATCTTCTTACCTTTACATCAGATCCGTGCCTGCATAATTAACCAGAACCACACATTTAATTGTTTTCTGTTCTAGGTATGCTCATCAGAAGATACCAGCTGCGAATGGCTTCCACCAGATTCATCTTTACTGGACGGACTTATTCTCAGAGAAGAGTTGTTAGAAGAACTAGAATAACTATTTCGCTAAATATTTAAACATGGCATGAAGTATATCAATAGATTATATTTATTTTTGTGAGTTACACTTGTAATTAAACCGGTGCACTAAAATATGTTTTTTTTTTAACATTATTAATAATGTGAAAATATGTGTCCTTCCTAGTATAATATTTGAGCAACTTATTACTACATTCGAAAATAGTTGTGTTAAAACAAAATATTCATTTGCCTTAACCGAAGATGACTCAGCATTTTTTTATTCGAACGAAATTTTTCAACTTCTCGAAAATTCAGATTTCTTGTATTTACACAAATACTACATAATATCGTGGGTGTAATGGTAAATATTTTGTTTACAAGATCATTCCTTTCTTTCACCTTTTGCTCGATGATACAGTGATATATTTATGTAAATATTTATTTATTTCAACAATAAGATAATCAGTTTTCCATGGTGCCCATTCACGTAAAAAAAACACAGGATCGATTTGTACGGGGTCTTTGACAGTGTGTCAGTATAACTTTCAAGTCGCAATATTCAAGTTTCATTTGATTGCAATCAGTTCACTCAAACAGAAGATATACATTATAAACTACTGGATAAATTTGAACAGTTTTTAATGCTTTGAAATGAAATAGCGAAAAAAAAGAAAAAAATCGCAATACAAAAAAAAAATAACTTCCATACAAAATTTGTTATAAACCCACTATTTTGCCGCCCCCTACATTGTGCCTAGATCGGGTTATCCCGCTGTAGGAAGTATTAAACTCACTTAAATTATTTTAAGTGTCGGCAAATTAGTGGGATCTTTTTAGTAACCTAGACTTTCGCCTCTAGCTTCTTCGCGTAGGATTTGATTTGGCTAGCCTTGGATATTTGGATATACTAATTTTACTTCGTGGTTCGGAAGTTGTGTTGGTTATTCGTAATTCAGAAATTTTATCTGACATTTTTTTGTTATTATAGGGTACTGCTTTTATTGCTGATAGCGTTAGATGACTCCGTGGCGCAGTTGCCAAGGTATTGGCTTAGGCGTCGGGGTTCGTGGGTTCGATTCCACCCACAGACCCATTCGTGACCCACAGGTAGTTGTTTCGCATCTGGGTGTTTGTCCACGTGAAATTAATGTTTGTAAAATGTCCCTATAACACTGGAAAATGTTATCCTAAAGTGAGGGCAATGTTTTTTCTAAAAAAAGTCTAATAAAATCTACCCTATTAATTATCTCGCATATTGGAGTCAGTTACGGAGGTAACTTACTGAATTTCAAATGAGCGCCCATAGAGGCCATTAACAGAACACTATAGTACGTACGCTGAGATAAATAGAGAAAATCACAATTGTTTGTCCGGAGATTTTCACCGCACCCTGTCATTACTCAGGGGACTAAGCCAAACTGAAGTGTTCAAGAAAATTCTTTGTTACTTGAACGCTTAGTCTCAATCCAAGCAATGACCAAGCCACTACAATAAATAAAAAATATCTTATAGTGTCGTTAATCAAGACAACGCCATAAATTACCTACCCAGTTGAGTTTTTACTCACTCATTAAGATTCATTTTCTTTTAAATTATAACTTGTTGTTGATTATAATACGCTTTCAAAAACAGAGTGCTGTCGATTTTTGATATCTATTCAGTTTCTACAAATTTTAATATATTCAGCCAATATGAAGTCGTTTTATCATACTTGTTGGAAAAAAGTTTTAAAAGAAAATGAACCTTAACTTAATTTTATTTTATGATGTCGATTGTTATCTTAATGTAAAATTGCTTATGAATATAAGTTTTGGAAATGATAGGAGATGATCGATTTAATAACAGTAATCACAGTAAACACTTACTTAAAACATAAAGAACAAGCTGGATTCGTGAAGGGACGCTCGCGGGAATGCAAACTCATATTACGGATAACCATAGAGAAGTCAAGGGAGTTCAACAAACCACTCTTCACAGGGATCGTCGACTTTCGATAGGCATTCGATACGGTCATATGGGAATGTCTATGAAAAGTTCTGTTGGATTTGTTGAGTTCCGCGGCATCTTGTGTTTCTATTGAGGAGGTTATACGAAGATGGCACTGCTGCAGTGGATAACGTCCTCTTAGATGCCGTAAATACTGAGTCCGGTGTTCGACAGGGATGTATATTGTCACCGTTGCTCTTTAACACCTATACCGAGCACTTTATGAGGAAAAGTGGAATAAAAGTGTTTCAGTTGGAGGGTGAGTGATTAACAACCTACGATACACTGATGATACTACGCTTCTGGCAAGAATAAAAGAATATTTAGAAGAGCTGCTGGCTTGACTTGAATCCACCAGTGCCAACTTCGGTCTTACTTTAAATAGAGATAAGACGAAGATCATGATAGTAGACCGGGCTGCCGGCTGAGCACAATTCGCAAGGAGTCCTGCGTATAGCAAACTGCGAAGTAGTTCAGAGCTATATTTACCTCGGCACTACTCTATTCAACCTCGGTGGTTTTGAAGACAAAATCAAGCGTCGATGCGCACGCACGGTCAGCAGTAGAGCGATTAGGGAAGATTTGGAAAGACAGACGTATAACCAAGAATATAAAGGGTCGACTAATGAGATGTCTGGTATTTCCGATCTTTCTGTACGGGGCAGAAACATGGTTGCTTATATCACAAGACCGCCGGAAAATCGATGCCTTGGAGATGTGGTGTAAGAGACGACTGTTGAAAATTCCGTGGACAGCTTTCGGACTAATATTTCCATCCTCAAAGAACAAATTCTCAAGTTCTTTGGGCACATCTCTAGAAAGGAAGATTTCATGGAGAGGCTTGTCATTCAAGACTGGTAGAAGGCAAAAGACCTCGAGGTCGAGCCTCGTCCAATCTCCGTGTGGTCGCATTGCTTACAGTCGCCTCCAATGGAGAAACAACTAGACGTGCGGCTACCTTGAAGTGAACAGCGACGACGAGACGCAATCCTGTCCATCGACTTGAACAACTATAACAGCTTACAATAACAGTTATAGAGAAACAAAATAACAGTTTATTTTAAATTAACGAAATGTGGCTGTTAATGCCAATCGCCATCTATATACTCTTTAGCATTCGCTCTATAGTCTACGACTTTAGATATGTATTATCTATTTGGCTTAAAAGTCTTGCTAACAGGCCATAAATTCTCTATTAAGAATAATGTATTATATATGCTCTATGGACTTCAGTATAGGGATGGTCGATATTAGAAAAACATCGATGTCATAATCGGAAGCCCAGCATCGATGTTCGATATTTATCGAAAACCGATCATGAAAACCGATGATTTTTGCATTAATAGTAATTGACAAAGAAATAAAATACATTGAAATGATTCGAATTCCCAAAAGCGTAAATTAAATATTATATCAACTTAATATAAAATTTTTTAATACAACTAAAACCCCAAGCATCCACATTCCACACCACAGCTGTACAAAAAAGTGAGATAAATTGTCTACGGTAAATTGTCTCATTTATAGCATTTATAACTTATTAAAGAACGATTTTGTTTAGCAGAAAGAAAATAGATGAATTCAACATTTAGAAGTCAATCAATAACAACTTCTGTATTCCATGTAATTTTACAACGGTACAATACTATCTAATGAGTAAATTAAAACAGGGGACGCAAGCGCACAACATAAAATTTTATCAACAAACGAATGGAAGTGTGAGAGAGAAAGATCGAGCGAGACTACGAAGAACGAAAGAAGGGATCGACTGGTGCGCAGTGAATGAATACACGTTCAGAACTTTAATAAAGCTTTTGTGGATTCGTTCACAGAAGACATAATTTGTTTCGTAAGTTGCGTTGGTCCGCGTGAGGCCTAACTCACGGCCTCATCGATGATCGATTCCGTTAACATCGGTGTTACGATATTTTTCGTATAGCAACATCGATGTAAAAACATCGATGTTTTAACACTCAACATCGATGATCATCGAACATGGATAATCATCGACCATCCCTACTTCAGTAAGGTATTTATTCACACTGTTGATGAGTATCGTATTAATTTATTGCTTTTAATTTAATTAATAGTGAATAAAATCCAAGAAAAAACATAGTATTAATATTTTTTTTATATTTAGATGTACTAAAGTGTATGTACCAGATCGTTATTATGTGATTCATATATAAACTAAGAGAAAGTTTTGTATTTCAGATAAAACTACTCTTTGGTTTTGTAAATAAGTGTTATGGAAAACATTAGTCATGTATATCTTTTGTGCGATTATTGTTTTATGCTTTTTATGTGAAAGTTATACATTAAACACAGATAAAACGGATCCGGCTCCCATAATTAAGGCAAATTCGCCACCAGAACAAAAGCTATGGAATATAAATCTTAATATTTATTTTGCCAAAACACTTCCATCAATTACAAGAAAGTCACCAGGTACAGATGTGCGACTAAGGTGCGAGGCAATAATGAATTTCACTAAAGTAGAAACATTTACAAAGTACAAGGAAGGCATAGAAACTTCGTTAAAAGAAGCTCCTCCTGACTACATACAACAAAGGCTCATGAAAAATTTGAAAGCTTATTGGCTTAGAGATAATAAAATAATTTCAGAAAACGAAAGAGTCAAAATAACTTCGAAAATCGATAAGACTAATGGCACTATAGGCACAAGTATTAGATTGAAAAATATACACCATTCTGATGAAGGTAATTATTCCTGTGTTATAAAGCAGAACCATGAGAAAAAACTGACAACAAAATTGGAAGTTAAGAAAAGTGTAATTGATGCCGAGAATTATGAGCTACATACATACACTCCCCCAAATTCTAATCTTGGCAGTGATGAATTTGAAATTATTGTTAAAACTACCCCAGAACTTATATCCGAAGATATGACTGTTGACAATATCAAGGGCTTAAAAACACCTCAAAATATTTCTATTCCCCGAAAGCTTGAACCATTATGCCAAGAATATATTGGAACAGTATGCAAGGACCACCTTAAGGGTAAATTTGTTTACATCCCTTATGATACCACCCAAGCAACTCTTGAAAATAAATTATTTAATGCCATGCAAGTCATTAAACTATCAAAAGATATTAGTACTAATTGTGAAGGTTATGCTGTGCCTAGTCTTTGTTTCTCCACATTTCCAATTTGTAGAAATCCCATAACAACTAATATGAATTTCTTTAAAGAAGCAAGGAAACTGCTAAATGTATCAAAAGAACAGAAAGATGGAGATCTTCCAGAAATTGTTTTTGAAAACCTTCCTAATGCCTTTGTGCCAAATGCAAAATCTAGCAAAAATTCATCTTCCAATATTTTTAATTACCGCTACAACTCTACTGTTCTGATACGTGTTTGTAAAAAGGAGTGTGTAATTTTAGAAAATGAATTATGCCAAACTGAATATGCTATTGCTAAAAGACACCCTCACATAGGCCAGCAACTTACTCTTGAGGAGTGTCAGGATTTGCCAGAGGATGATCCTGACTGCCTAGAAATTGGTATAGGAGCAATGATGGTTTCCGATGATGAATGCTATTGGGAAGATGGAAGCGGCTATCTAGGTAGAGTAAGTGTAGCTAATAACGGTATGCCATGTATTGAATGGTCTAAACAATTGCAAGTAAAACTTTCTGATTACCCAGAACTGGCTGGCACACATAGCTATTGCAGGAACCCTGGTAGTCTTAAATCACAACCGTGGTGCATTGTTGACATCGGTGGAAAGAGAGAAAAGCAAATCTGTGACATTCCAAAATGTGCACACAAAATATGGATATACATTGTAGTAATTTTCTTAGTTGTGACAATGGTTATTTTAGGATTTGTTGTGTGTCTATGTTATAGACATAAGAATAAAGATAATGCAGCAACCATAAGAGACATTAACTTACCAAATGCTGATAAAAATATATATGGTAATTCAAGATTAAATTCTCCTATAGAAATGAATGAGCTGTTAACCAGCCAGAATATAAACAATCAGCCACATTTGACAAGGAATGTCCGTGGTAATGGTGTACTTCGTATACCTCAGTATTCCCTTTCACAAATCAAGTTTTTGGAAGAGCTTGGGGAAGGGGCTTTTGGTAAAGTTTACAAAGGGGCCTTAAAAAAGAATGGAGAGACACAATATGTAGCAGTGAAAGCGTTGAAAGAAAACGCATCAGCCAAAACACAAGCAGATTTTAGGAGAGAAATTGATTTGATATCAGAACTGAGTCATGAAAATATTGTGTGCATAGTTGGTGTAGCACTTAGAGAGGAGCCTTTGTGTATGTTGTTTGAATTTATGGCTCGGGGTGATCTCCATGAATTTCTAATGGGTAGAGCACCTCCATCTGGAAAAGGATTGCCTCCAATGAGATTATTAAATATTGCTTTCAATATTGCATCTGGCATGCAGTACCTTGCTTCACATCATTATGTGCACAGGGACTTGGCCGCAAGAAATTGCTTGGTATCAGATGATTTTATAGTTAAAATATCAGATTTTGGTCTCTCTAGGGACATCTATAGCTCAGATTATTATAGGGTAAGTATTATTAAATGTTATTGTCATCCATAACCGATGGTGTGAAGAAAATTTCATATATTTTCAATTTATTCTACACATTTATCTCTATCACGTTAAATTTATATCATAATACCTAAATATGCGTCTTTAATTCCTTTCTATAAACATGATTTTATCATTTCAGATCACATCACAATAAATTTAAATCAAATGCCTACTAATCTATTCTTAATTTTCAGGTGCAATCCAAAAGTCTCTTGCCAGTTAGATGGATGCCACCAGAATCAATACTTTATGGTAAATTCACTACCGAGAGCGATATTTGGTCGTACGGAGTGGTGTTGTGGGAAATTTACAGTTACGGTCTGCAACCATATTATGGGTAAGCTTTGAAATTAGCATTAGGTTTGTGGTAAGAATATCTTTTTTTTTTGGTTTCTAGTATTTAAGGATTTAATATCCTAATCGTTTTTTTGTTAATAATGTTTACTTACGTGATCCAGAGCTATGTTTTAAACCATTTATCAGATGTTTATCAATTTGTATCGGAACTTCGCAAAATTGCGTGACGCAGAACAAAGTGGTAGTAATAGCTTAGTTGAACGCTAGTATCCAAAACCGCGTTATGTACAATTTCAATCCGTACAATGATATTTTATACTACAGATAAGTTGTTAACACGCCCGGCGTGAAGCCATGAAAACATCGCAATTGGGACGTTTTCGTCGCAAACAAAGAATGAAGCAGTAAATAAGTAAGGACAAGAAAATCGGATGCACGTCGAGATTTTTTTTTACACTTAATCTAAAGTGACAAACTCTTGCGGTACTCTTTTTTTATTATCGCTTTCATTACGCTACTTTTTTTATGTATGTGGAAATAGTAACACTCGAGCGGGAATTTTGCATGCGTATAAAATATCATTGAATCCATAGGAATGTCAATTATTATAACTATAGTAGACAGTAACCCCAATAAATCGCGTCATCATTTCGAAGACTAAAAATCATCGTACTGCCCTAATCCCACCTAGGTTAGGTCGGCACATCACATGAATCATGTTGTTATTGGTATTACCCGCCTTTTTCTGGCCACTTGAATAAAAGTAAAGTTACAGCCTACTTATGTGCTTATGTCAGAGGATATAAGTGCACCCGCCTGATTTGATGTATCTGTGGATCACACAAATATCCCAGGGCCGTGTGTTTAAATCCCGTAGAGGTTTTTGTATGTGATAATTGAGACCCTGCGAATGAGAGTGATTTAAAGAAAACTACTTTGTTTCCGGTATTTTTCAAGTTGTAATTTTAACAAAAAAAAAAATCATTGCCTCGAAAGTTCTAATTTACGTTTCTCGAGCAGTTACCCAGAACGTAAATAGAGCTTCCCGTTTTTGTTAAAAATATGAAGTTACACCTGCTTGGGCCGTGATAGCTCATTCTCCGGTCGCTCGCTTTTAATTCAATATACTCGAGCAACCTGAGCTTAATCCCCGGTGCCGTGCTTATTGCGTGCTCAGCGGTGAAGGAAAACATCGTGAGGAAAGCTGCATATTTTCGAAATAATAACAAAGAAATATGAAGAAATATGAAGTCTAATCCGCGATGGGGTCGCGTGGTGGATTATGATCTAATACTCACTGTACAGAGGAACCCTTTGCCCAGGAACTGAGGAAATGGTCTATCAAAATCCTCTAAAGTTTCATACTATCCTATTAGATACAGCAATCAAGAGGTGATCTCGATGGTCCGAGGCGGCGAGCTACTAGCCGCCCCCGCTAACTGTCCAACGCAACTATACGCCCTCATGAGAGAATGCTGGAAGCACACGCCCCAAAGGAGGCCGAACTTCGAAGATATCGTAAACAGGTAAACGATTTGTCTATGGTACAGGCGCAGAATGCTGGAAGCACACGCCCCAAAGGAGGCCGAACTTCGAAGATATCGTAAACAGGTAAACGATTTGTCTATGGTACAGGCGCCTAACGAAGTTTCCAGCCTTTAAGATTGCAATATGTTCTTGAACATCTTGGCCATGCAGTCTTCGCTGTTGCATCAATGGGTAGGTCTGTCTAGGGAAATACCGCGACCTCATAGAAGTCCGTTGTGAAGTAGAAATGTTATACTTCTGTGTCATAGATCTAACCGAGACACACTATTAAAAATTGGCAATGCATCTACAAACCTAAGGGTTGTAGCCAGTTTATCTATTTTGTCTAAACGGCGTTATTGACTGCGTCTGTCGTACAAATAGACCAGCGCGAGTGAAGAAGTACCACGGTCTCAAAAGACCGACGAAGACCGGAGTAAACAAACGCGTTCTCTCTTGAGAGAGTTAGGAATCCGGCAGCACTCTTAACTACTCGACAGGCAATGCCCCTCCAACATATAATTGTTGTCTCTCTCAAGTTCCTCAGTCGAGCTGGACCATAGGGTATTGAACATCCATGGGCGACAGGTCCTTACCATCAATTGAACCGCTTTTACGGTAGCTGTCCATTTGAAATAAACAATATGATATGTCCAATAAATTGTGATATCCTCTTACATACATATTTGCACCTTTGTAAAGCATTAGCAATCAGATGTGTATCGTGTGCCACTAAGTGCTGTCTCGTGACGATATAATTAGACTGCGAGATAATTCTGTGGAATGTGCCGCTTATGATAACCGGACTGTGGAGTAAAAAGTATTTCACTTTCACATCGTCGTCCGTCAGTCACCGTTTCCTCAGCACAGCGTGGACGGCATTAAAGCGTGAACGCTTGTAGTTATAATATTGTTTTTATAATACCTACAAATGGTACAAACGTGTATATTCATACTTCCTTTCATTATTTTTATGTAGCAACATGCTAATAGATATATAAACAGTTCAGCAGTGGCGAAAAGTACGCGCATGTCCGATTTCTTGCAACCAATTGGTTTGGCTTAAGCGGTCGATATTCCCTCCCTGCCTTAGAACCTAAAAATACTGACAACTGCGCAATAGAATTCATTTTTAACATGTTAGCCGGTCACTTAGTTGCTCTTTTATAATGCCCATGGCGGAGTGGCAAACACACAACGACCAAATAGCGAAATTCTTAACGTGAGTATCATGCGATTCCGCAAAGTGGATGGTTGCTTACCTTCCGTTGTTTCCTAAATGATGGAGACCTGTCATATTGATGCTGACAGGATATGAAACATTTTCGGGAGTTGCATATCTTCTATCAACTTCAGAAACTTTTACTTATATACTTATTCAACGTTGGGAAGCTATAAAATAGTGAAATAGTTTTCTTCCGTTTTGTCTTCCCTTTTCTCTAGACCTGATTTAGCAACCTCTCTTTCATGGATATATCTTGTTCTAACAGACCTTACAAGCTATATTTGCAACTAATCCTTCATTTATCCTTTATATTCATCTGCCTTTTTTGACGATAACAGTTCATGTGTTTCTTCTTATGTTCCCTTTCAATACTTTCTATGAACACTCACTAGGAACAGATGAATCAGCAAGGCTTAATTTTGTTTGGTAAAACGAAACATAGCGTGGTTTGTCATAAACACTAAATGAAGAACTTGGCTTTTTTTTTTGTTAATTGTTGCCAGCCATCGAGGCTATTAAAATGTGACTGGCGACTTGATTTTCTCCCTCAGCTAAGTCTTGAATTTAAAAATGTTGAGATTTTGTCATAATCAAGCATCTCAGGCACAACATTTTGCCTAGTTTGATTGCTTTATTCATAAATTCACGACGTTTATCGCTCTGTAGTATACAAGGCGCAAACAAAATATATCCAAAAGTTTTATTCTACTTCTATTATCGTTATATTGTATAGTATGATCATAAGTCAGATAATCTTTATCAGTTCAGTGTGCATGTCGATTAAATTACCTCGATATCTGGAATTAATGCAGTCAGATACAAGAGCTTTGTACTAATCGAGTCTCGAGAACGAGTGGTGATTCCACGCCAAGTAAGAAATTTAATGTAGATTAAGGATCATACCTACAGTCTGTTAAATATAGGTTGATACGCGGGACATGGACATTGATATAGAAATATGGATCTCGTATATCAAGTTCCGTATTTTTTAAATAAAAAATGTAGGTACATAAAACGATGTGGTACTTTATTTCGTAATGTCATTTCAGTTTATTAATGTCAATGTCCCGCGTATCATCGTATTTTTAGCAAACTGTAGTGTAATAATAGTCTCCATTTATTTATTTATTTATTTATTTAAAGTACAACCACATCATATATATTGGACATTTACATAGTTGATTTGATTATAAAAACTTATTGCTGATACATATGAAAATGACGGTGTACATAACATTGACAACATATGAAATAAAAAAGTGGGTGTTAGTAATATGAATATACGTTAAAAATATAGAAAATGTTTACAAATAGAATTAATGACTAACATACAGTTTTGTAAGCAGCTGTTTAAATTTATTCAGACTGCAATTAAATATATCCACATCGGTTATTTGTTTAACTAAGTAGTTGTATTCTCTAATTAATCTAACTTGAGGGGATTGTAGGCCAAGGTTTGTTTTTGTAACTGGAATGTGAAACAAATTACCAGTTTTCCGTCTATTTGTTCGTGGGACAGAGAAGGAGAGACTTTCGAGGAAGCTACTGCATTTAATTTTGCCATGAAGTAATCGATGTAGGAAACACATATCGATTATTCGTCTTCGGCTATTAAGGGAAGCCTTCTTATAGTGTGAAAGTCTTTGGTGGTATGGATTTCGATGTGACAAACCACTCGTAAGAAAAGCTATAAATCGTGTGAAAGTACGTTGAATATTCTCAATTCGTTGCGATTCAATAGCGTAAAAAGGATTCCAACTAACACTAGCATATTCGAGATGACTGCGTACGAGAGCATTGTATAAAATAAATTTTGTCCGTAGAAGTCTAATGCTTAGTGTTGCGTTTAATAAATCCGAGCATCTTAGCTGCTTTAGTGACTATGTTATTAATATGTGATGTAAATTTTAATTTAGCGTCAATAGTTACACCAAGATCACGGACTTCATTAACTTCTTTTATAGTCACGCTGCCAATCTCGTACTTAGTGACAAGCGGTTTTTTTTTCTTCCTAGAGTACTTTATATGATAACATTTATTTATATTGAGGGTCATATGGTTTTCTCTACACCAATTTTCAATTGCATTAAGATCTCTTTGGATGAGGTAAGAGTCAGCGCTGGACGTTACAGTGCGATAAATTTTTAAGTCATCGGCGAACATGGACGTTTTACAATGTTTGATTCGGCTGGAGAGGTCGTTAATAAATATTAGAAAGAGCAAGGGACCTAAATGAGAGCCTTGGGGAACACCACTTGTAGAGTAGAATACGTCCGATTCAAAGCCATTAACACTGACAACTTGCGGGCGCTTCTCTAGGTTGGATGTTAACCAATTTAAACACATTACCCCCCACACCAAAAGCTTCAAGTTTTTTAATAAGAATGTTGTGATGAACTTTATCAAAGGCACTGCTGAAGTCGGTATAAATAGCATCGACTTGACGACCTTTATCTATTTCTAGGGATAATTCAGAAATAAAAGGAACTAGATTAGTCTGGGTTGAATGACCTTCTCTAAAACCATGTTGACAATCTGAGAGGTTAATATCTATAAATTTAAAAATCGAAGGGTAAATTAATGATTCAAAAAATTTTGAAAAACAGGACAATATCGATATAGGGCGGTAATTTTTGACGTTAGTACGATCACCTTTTTTAAAGACAGGGAGTATCCGAGCCTTTTTCCATTCCGTTGGGAACCTTTCTCTATGGAACGATTAAAGATGAGTGTGAGTGGAAGAGCAAGAAAGTTACCACAGCGTTTTATAAGAGCGGGAGGAATGGAATCTGGACCAGCACCTTTTGTAATATCGAGTCTTTTTATGTGGCGTAAAATCTCACTCTCACTAAATTTGAGATTGCATAAAGACTGTGACGTCACTACTTGTTCAGCAGACAAAAGCTGAGGTGAGATATTATCCCTATTGAAATTAGAGGAGAAATGATTTGCGAATAAATTTACGATTTCTGTCCCACACTGAGCTGTTACTTCATTCAGATGTACTTTATCTGGCATAGACGAATAACTGCCTCGCTTGTTTTTTATGTAGTTCCACAAGAGTTTGGGTTTTTTTGCAAGGTTATTTTCAATTGTTTGAGTATAAAGTTTATTACATTTATCGTATAGTTTATGGCAACGATCTCTTAGGATATGAAATTCAATTTCATCGCGTGGGTTATGATATTTACGGAATCGTTTACGAAGTTTCTCTTTCTCTTTTATGCAGTTAATCAATGCATTACTAAACCATGTTGGATATTTAGACTTTGAAGTATTACGCTTTGGAACATACCTATGTACAATCCCTTGGAGAATATTATAGAATTCATCTACCATTTTGTCAACATTGTGACAGTTTGAAAATTCAGTTTGCCATTTAACAGTTCGTAATTCATTTATAATTGACTTAAAATCAGCTTTGTAATAATTATATCTACTGTGCTGCTTTTTACGTAAGTTATCAATAGGTGAAGAAGGTATATTAAATTGTAGGCTAGGGTGATTACCATAGCATTTAGACAGAGAATTCAACGGATTCGTTACTTGTGCAGTTTGTATGTTGCTTATAATTAAATCGAGAAATCTTCCATCATTATTGGAGATGCAATTAAATTGATACAGGTTATTAAAGGAAATAAAATCTATTAGAGTCAAACCATTGGATGTGTTGTAGTTAGAAGGACTCATATAGTTACAGTCACTGCTAGGGTTCCAGCTAATGAAATTTAAATTAAAATCACCTAGGATAATGATATCATCACACTGAATGACAACACTGTCAACACTTTCGAGAAATTTTGTTAAGGTACAGTGCTTAACGGGTGGCGGTAAATATACAACGCAGACTGCAAGTTTTTTTGCTTTACCATTTTGAGTGAAATTTATCTTTACCCACAAATTTTCTTCATCAGTTTCCCATGTTTCAACTCTAGACGAGGGAATGTTTCGTGAAACCGCCATCATTACCGCTCCTCCATCTTGTTTACCTTCTGCTCTGATGACCCTGTCTCTACGATACACCACGTACCTACTATCCACCAGCTCGCTATCCGATACACTGCTATTTAAACACCAGTCTCTGTGAATGCAATAATATCATAATTTGAAGTAAGTACATTTTTCAATAAATCGTTTGTCTTAGTTCTTAATCCTTGAACATTTTGATAATATATATCTAGCGTTTTGAGGAAAATTGATAATGCCAAAACAATGTCATTGAAACATTCCTTTTAAGTAGTGCTGAGCTAAACCAACTATTTAATGTTATCCAAGCTGTTGACGCTTTTTATCAACAATGCTTGACAGTTTTCGTCTTTGCGCATGTAAATGCGGCCGTTCCGAATCCACACAAATTTAAATCCCATTTCTTTTGCTTTTATTCTTGCTGCCGCGTGAAGAGATTTGTTTGCGGGGGTAAGGTGTTCATTGACAAAAATTGGGGAGCGGGTGCCGCTATATCCTAGATGATGAGTGCACAATTTATCCTGGCTATTTGCCTTGTTAAATTTGATAACTGCTGCCAAGAATGCGTCACGGTGGTTAGGGCTACGAAGTTTAGCTATTACAGCTCGGGGTCTATTATTTTCCTTTGATATTTTTGCAACTCTCGTCACAAACTGCACGTCATCGTTTGTTAAGGGGTAATGTACTTTATTTGCTAGTTGATTTAGCGTATTTAATAAATTCTCCAACCTATTCTCTGGAACACCGTTTATTTCTATATTACTATCCCTCATATGCAACTCTATTGTGTTTAGTCTGTTAGTCAAGTCCTTTACACAGCTGTTTAATTTTTCGTTTTCAGTTTTTAGCTCTGATATAATTGCCGATTTTTCTTGTAGATTATTTTTCATCTCCTCGTACTGCGCGTTAAAGAAAACTTATTGCCTCTTGGAAACTATCGATTTTTTTTTTATTTATCGTGTTAAACTCTGATGTTACCTGTCTGGTTATGTTAGTCTTTAACACCGTCGAGAGTTCTTGTTGCAGTATTTCACGCAGCTTTTCCTCAGTAACGTAATTATTTTCTTGGTGCCCTGTCGGTGACTTACAGTGTTTGCCGCGAAAAGTGACATTTGAATGGTCCATTGGACTATCTTCTCTCGCTTCTCCTATTGCATAGGATCGCAAAGGAGTATTAGTGTTATCAGATTTGGGTTGTTTACTGAAACATTCTGGACATTTCCAATTAGACTTAAGTCGCGGCTCCATCGCAGAAAAACGTTTATAAGTCACATTAGCGCAGTCAAGATCATACTTTGACTTACAAATGCAGCATACGAGTAATTCTTTCTTAGGCAGAACACCCTTGCACCCAGCGCATTCATTTGTTGGTGGCGCCATAATATATTTCGAAGTTACAAATAGATTTCGCAAAATACCAAATTATATTTCTTTGATAAAATTATCAACAAAAAAGATTTAACTTTTAAGGAGATTAGAACCGCCGTACTCACGATTCGACGACCTATACGTAATCGAAACGGCCACGATTTCCTATGTATGTTTGGTTGAAATTTGTGTTCCTATTTGTGTTTTTTGCTCGTTTTCCTTTTCGGTCGTGAAGTCCAAAGTTCAATAAAACAAAGAATGACTGGTTAGAAAAAAGTGTCCGTTGCGAGTTTTCAGTTCAGATGTTTAATCACTTTCACTAAAAAGTTGTTAATTATTAAAGTTTTTGACACAAACACTAATAAGGACAGTTTATCTAATATTGATGTCTTGACAAATAAAAGTATATGAAGTTAAAAGTTCACATATAAAAAAAAAAAAAAAAAAAGTACTACTATAAAATATTTCTGTGAAGAGTTGCAAACAGTATCACGTATAACACAGGTCACAATATTCACTGTTTACTATCGTATTATTATCATTTACTATATTTTAACAATTACATAAGCGGACACGATGTTTACATGGCGGGTACCCACAACTGATCCATCATTATTATCTCCATCATTATTAACAACAAATAGTTTATTATTGTATAAACTATTATACAATAGTTTATACACGCGCACGCACGCACGCACGCACCCACACGCACACGCGCACACACACACACACACACACACACACACACACACACACGCACGCACGCACGCACGCACGCACGCACGCACGGCGTTTTGATGTAATTATAATATTAAAAATAAAGATATATCTTAGTTTATAACCACTTTTGTTGATTATGGTGAGGAATAAATGATTATAATTATTATTATCATGCAGAAAGCTAGGAGGGCTATATAACAGCTTTTGTTGTTACTAATGGGCAGGACGTAGCACGGCCTCACAGAAGTGGAATTATTACACTTTCGTATTTCGGCTGTTGAGTGAGGTACCGGGACTCACTTTTATTGGTTGGCAACGCCTCAGCAATCCGTCATATGTTGTAGATGTCCATAGGCGGCGGTTATCACATAATATCGGGTGAACCGCCTTCTCGGTTGTCAACTTTTCACATAAAAAAAAAAAACAATTAACGCATGTTGAACTACATGAGCAGTTACCAATTAATGAACGTAATCTTTTGTATCACGACTGGGTCGCAGTTTTAGCCCAGTTTCACTACATTACATAAATTTAGAGAAAACTTAATCAAATCAAAACAAAAACGATGACAGTTTATTTACAAAAACAAAGTTTTACGAAGCAAACGTATCACATGTATTTTCCCCAAAATAGCGTACACATATTAGTAATCAGCAGTCACAGTAACTTTCGATTCCAGAATGCCGCGTTCTTTTCTGGCCGGTTCTATGATTTAACTAATCTCTCCCTTAAGATACAAACCTTTATTATAAAAGGCATGCCTACCCTTCGCTAACGTAACCACAGACCTGCATTAATTTCAATAATTCTAAGCTATTAATATCGGCTCATTCTAAATAATTCCATACGCCTTGCAACCGGTGCTTGATGGCATAACGTAACGTCGACCAGCAAATGCTCGAAGCTACGCAAGCACTTTTGAGTGCTTGCGTAGCTTTGCGTTAACCAAATGTTCATCGAAAGAGCCGAAAACTTCTCCGATCCTGTGGTGGTAAACGCAGCGACATTATAAACCCGACATAAGCGCGACCGGCGACGCCTGAGGCGTTGCATATGCGTTGCCAATATTTAAAAAAATTAGGTCCCGTTTACCTCACTCACGAGACGAATCGCGACAGTGTAACACTTCCAGTTCACATCTGTTTTCTTTGAGGCTGTGATACTTCCCATGAGACTGCTGGTGATGATATTGTGATGATATAGATACATAACAAACAAAACATAAAATAAAAAATAACAATTAAAATTTAGAAGTCAATACACCAAAACATCATGCAACTCGGCATTACATTGCGAAAAAATTTTGCGATTGCTGGTTTTCAGTAGACCGCGGAATGAGTACCTCATCAAACCTTGAGTTGAAAGTCTAGCACCGAAATAAATATTAATCCTGTTAATTTTTCACAGAATACAAGAGTGGATCCAGGCGGGCGGCTGTCCGGAACCCACGCCGTCAGAATCAGGCGGCAGCTTATACGGCCACAGAGCCACGACCTCCGCCAAGGATTTCCAGGAGAGGGCGCCCCTGCTGCCGCCGCATTGCTCCTCTTCCAACGGCTCCCTTGCCACAGGAAGCCTGAAGAAGTTCAGCGCGGCCGGCTCCAGTTCCAGGGCTGACGACAGCCGCTCGACCTGCAGCGAGGTGCCACCCCTGGCGCCCAAGTCGAAGAAGCACTCTTCGGCACCCCTAATTGACACAGACAAGGCAAGCACCACCAGGGATACCGTCGTAAGGATAACAAACACTCATTACAGTAACGATATTTAATTGCAGATATTCTGTAGTGTAGATAGCAATCACGATAGTATAAGATTATTTTCTATCTATGCACTGATTAAAAATATGTCCATTGCATTTTTTACGTGCACTAATAAAAAAAAATTCGGACAGAATGTTTTCGAGTTACTTAAAATGGTTAGATACTACTGCGTGCTGTAAAAGTGAAGTAGATAATAATTTGTCAATAACTAAACTTTGAACAAACTAAGAAAAGTGTGATGTTAAAGTAAAACAAAAATAAGCCTCTTAATAAGTACATAATCAGTAAGCGCAAAAAAATTTGCTGTTAAATGTTTACTAAATGAATGTAGTGGATTATTTTTCCGAAAGTATTATCATTGTTCCTAACTTTAACTTTATTTTCTAACTTGAAAGTTATTATATTCAAGAATGTGGGACTGAATAATTCTCCATTGCGGTTTTAATTTTGGACAGTTGGGTAAGAACAGTGTTGAAATACACAGACATCTTGCCTCTTACACATTCTTACACTTATGTATGATAATTTCACAGATTATATTCATCACACGGTTAGCGGATTTTACTACAATATTTGTAATTAACTGAATCATCAGACTTATAAAAAGACAATTTAAAACAAACTGATTTCATTCAAGTACAATATTTTCTATGGAATATCTTATGTAACTTTTGATTTCTCTTTATTTATTTTTTAATTATTTATTAAAAGACTATAAATATTAAGTTAGATGTCACTTAGATCATAAAGCAACTTAAATAATAAAAAATATAGTTTATAGTGATTCTTTTCACTTGGTTACCTAATTTAATTGGTCCAGAATTAAAATGCCGATATCTTTAGAATTGTATAATTCACGTAGCTTAATTTTAGCTATAGCATGTATATGTATAAAAGACAACAAACAAACTATTATAAAATAGCCAGTTTGCGATTGTGAAGGTGCCTAAAAAAATTCTTAAATTTTCAATAACATATTTTTGAGAACACAGTAGTAAACCTGTACATAATTAAAGTTTTTATAAATGCCTCTCAACAAAATAATGCAAATAATATCTTTGAATAGTTTTTAAAACTTTAATATTATGTGTAAAAATCAGCCTTTAACAGTATCAAAACAACCCTTGCCCTCAATAGATTTATAGAAAAATAAAGTTTTGACAATTCCTTAATCAAATTTAAATTCAATTCCTTAAGTGAAAAATGTATTATGGTTTACTTAAATTGTTAAATTTAAGTACACTAATTGTCATTGTTATAATATTTGCTTAATGTCAAGAATAGTATTAAATTAGATAAATGCCCATAGGCTATGATGATATCTTAAAAATGTTAGTATATCGAATGATAAAGCATGGCATAGACTATAGGGTCCAACAAAAACCCTAATGGTTTATGTCCGTTTTATAATAGCAATATTATTTTCACGAATACAACCAAGCTTAACTGTCTGACACTGCCAAATGTCTATTATGTAAGTATTCTTGTCTTAACCTATGGGCGCTAGGTTATATGAATCATGGTTGAAGTTTGTGAATTTAGTGTTAATTGGGTCCTTTTTGAATAATCGGCTATTTGCAATACCAATAATGAAACCATATATTTTCTAATTCATAAAAAATGCAAACAGTATTTATGAGAAATGGTTGTGTTATGTGTATCAGTAATAATACACTTGCGCGATTGTTAAAACAGAATTTTCTATTTCAATAAGTTGTAGCCAGTTTATCTATTTTGTTTAATTGTATTCTTGCCAGTAAATCTGTAGTTAATTTGATATTTAATAAACTGTAGTTTTATGTCCTTTCGTTAAAGAAAAAAATTTTGTTGAAGCTGTAACTCTCGTCTTTAAAAACTTTTATAAATTTTTGGTACGCCTTGTACTTGCCAAAGACTTTTTTGTATGTGATACATTTACTTTTTTACTTAGATGTAATTTGTATTTCTATTTAAGTTATTTATAAAGAAATATTCAAAATGATTTCTTATTTCATTTATTTTCAAATATATTATAGTTTATAATTAAATACTGCTACCATCTTCACATTTAATTCTTTTGTTGATCAAGTATTCACCGTGAGTCTTCATATGTACTTTGAGGTTGGAGTTACCTGTGAAACTCCTTTGGCAAATCTTACAAACGTAGGGACGCTCTCCTGTAAGAGATATTTTCTTTTAAAAGTATATTTTGGTGAAGAACTTAAATCTTCGACATAAACTTTTCGTAAAGTATAAAACAATTATAGGTACTGTGCGCCGATTTGACGTTTGAATATAAAATCCAGTATACTTTTTACATTACCCTCATACGCATTTACATATACATAGCTGAACATGAAGCTGAATGGGGCATTAAATGTACATGTTCCATATAGCTTGGGAACCCACCAATACCTTCGCAACTGTCCCACCCGTGCTGCCAAAACCTCAAATCAGTCTGTCAAGAAAATAACTATCTAGGAATAGGTACAGATTAAACTTCTCAGCTGTAATTCCGTCCTCTCCTCACGCTCAGACTGATGTCCGGGATATTTTCGGAATAACAAGCTTCGCTCTTGGGTCGTTACTCACACATATTAGGGGTCCAACGACGATGTGTACAGCTGTACTTAGAACCCCTTAATCTGACTAACAAGTTCCGGTCTAGTGGAGATGATAGCCCCGCCATCAGACTTAATTTTGGGGCCGTCGATTAGTCACGCGAAGCTCGAAAAGGGTGGGAGGGGGTTTGGCAAAAATCACGAAATATCACAAAGGGGGTCGGGGGGGGGGGGGGGGAAGTAAGATATCAAGTGTATTTATTTTTTCGTCAATTGCGCGATTTCTAAACCGAAAAGATTTTTTTTATGTGAGGAAGTGGCAAACGAACTGGGAGTTCACCTGATGTTAAGTGATAACTGGCTGCCCATGGACATTTGCAACACTCGTAGGGTTACAAATGTCCATGGGAAACGCAGAAGTGCAACACTTCTACTTTACGCCGGTCTTCTGTGAGGCCGTGGTACTAACCCGGACGGACCTGCCCATTCGTGCAACAGCGAACACTGTTGCGTGGCCCTACCATCCTTAATTATTATTATTGATTTATTTTCTGTTACAGCTGCTATAACATCAAATACTAAAAACGGAATAAAAAAAAATTAATTGGTGTTCCCATACTACAGACATGCTTTTTTGGCGTTTTTATAGATAACGGTACGGCACCCTTAGTGCGCGAGTCCGACTCGCACTTGGCCGGTTTTATATACATTCAAACGCGAAACATTATCCTCAGCTACGCATTATCGGGGAAAACTATACCTGTGTGAATGCGACGATGTTTCAAGAGGACAGTTGCCGAGTAAAATTTCGCCGGGCAATATTCGCAGTGTTTAGTGCGAACTCCGTCGTGTCGATCTTTGTGCACCTGAAGGGCTGTTTTAGTTTTATACGTTGCGGGGCAACGGTCGCATTTATGACGCTTCTCCTCTCCATGTGTCTCCAAGTGACGTGACATCTGTTTAAAGTGAAACGCGTGTCGACTTTAGGTTAACATTATTCCGTATCGTAAGGACGTTTTACACACATTAATTTCACACCACCCAGATGTGTGACAACTATCTGTGGGTCACACATAGTTGTCCCGCGTGGGAATCGAACCCACGACCCCCGACGCCGAAGCCAATACCGTGGCAACTGCACCACGGAGTCGTCATTAATTATTAAATGGTCATTCAATGAACCAAAAATGGTATGAAACCATTCACATGTGTGAAACTTAACTTATTGCGCATCAAAATTTGTCGCGGCCTATATAAAAAAATACTAAAAACGAAGCATGCAACGAAATCGAATTAAAAGTTGAAATAGCGCTTATAAATCTTACCCTCGAAGATCTGTTTATTTCTTTACCGCATATAGGACATAATTTGTTCTCTTGTGTACAAATATGCTTGTCGTGTTTCTGTTGATTTTGGAACACCCTTTTGCAAATTTTACAGTAAACCTTTTTTTCAGCATGTATTCTTATTTTATGATCCTGTTTGAATAAACTTACTATTATGAACGTAACAAGAACAGAGTGGTATAGTAATGATACAGCCTACTAGGTTTTTGTTAATTGAGATCAATTTTCAAATAATATTTAGATATTTTGTTTAAATAGATCAGGTTTTATGTTTATCTGTTTAGGCGTCTTTCTTGAAAAATCGCTTTTAAAAAGCTTTTACGCGAAAAATAAACATTTTTTCCTTTATAAATGGATATAGAGCCATCTCGTAAATTTTTTATATTAAGAATTTTCATTGTTGCTCATGGTTATAAGCTTATGTTGAATTGTTGATCCAAAATTTTGTCGGGAGCCGCTATATAACATTATTCGAATTCAGTAGCAAGAACACGATTTGACAGGAAAAACGTCGATACTGTATAAATGGTAATTGAGATACCTTTAGTCCACTACTACTTTTACATGAATAACCACAGAAGTCACAGACATAGGCTTTGTATCCAGTATGTGATAATATGTGTATTTTCAACTTCTGTTTGTTGTTAAATCTGAAAATGTAAACATTTTGAAATTGCATCTCGGCATAAGCTTTGTATAATATTTATATCTGTTCTCCAATTCCATATTTATTTCATATATTTTCACTTCATATATTTGTATTATGTTCAATGAAAACACACTTGTTTGTATATAAATTTGTACATCCATAATCTACTTACGATTTAGAGCAGTAATCACAAATTAATACTTTGCTAGAATGTACACTCCAAATGTGTTTTTGTAATTTTTTAGGTGTTTCATAACAGCGTTGGCACTGGCTACATTTTAGTTTCAATCTCTAAAACGAAGATTAAGATAAAAAAAAAATATTTCATCTTAAATAAGTCAAATACATGATTACTAGTAGAGTAACTTTTCACTTTAACTACAGGCCACTATCCTTAGTAAATGATGTTTTTGCTTCTATTTATAAGTCCTAACTTTACAACTCTTCATTAGATACAGGGCTCTCAAAATGTAATGGCTTTGTTGGGTAGCTAAAAGCTAAGAACTAAGTTTATTAGTTTGATTTTATACATATTGTTTTGAATTAAGTTTTAACATTAAAAACCGATACGAAATATACATGTATGATAACTTGATGGTCAGTTAATTCTAACAGAGCTTAGAAAACATAAGAAGGAACATACACCTCCATCATAATGTGTTTGTCTGTAATGGAATTCCATTGTCATATGAGATAAAAAATATTTAGAGCATAAATGACATCTTCTCTGGTTTTCCGGGATGTGTTTAAGCCTGTGGCTAAGTATCTCAGGCCAATCGCAAAAGTTTTCTTGACACACTTCACATACAGTATCCCTTTTATGACACTCTAAATGCTTAAACAATTCTTTTTCTTTCCAATAAAATTTCTTACAAATACCTGAAATAACAAACTTTAAGTATATGTCCCTCTAATCAACTTTAATTGCTACATGCAATATACCATATGGAACTGTTGTAGGGCTATGCAGCAGCCTCAACTTTTGCATGAAATGAAACAAAACCAAGGCCTCACAGAAGACCAGCATTAAGTGGAAGTTTTATTCTTTCGCATTGTCTGGTGAGTGTGGTAACCTTAGCCCACTTTCTTCAAAATCAGCAATGTATCTGCAACCCTAAAGGGTTGCAGATTACAACCCTAAAGGGGTTACAAATGTGCATGGGCGGTGGTTATCACTTAATGCCAGGTGACCTGCAAGCCCGCTTACTCCCTTCTCACAAGAAAAATACAGATAATTACCACATGGCATTTTGACAACACCTTTGTTAATGTCAAATTTTACCAAAGTCTTTCTTTTACTTTTTCTTGATTTCATTTTTAGTCTGCATTTTGTGGCTGAAATTTCACAAAAATAACTAGAGACATTTCAAAACAATTAACAAATAACAGGAAAATAAATGTAAATAAAATAAATTCAATAATACCTTTTGCAGGAGAATATTTAGGTATACTATTCAATTTTTGACCTATCTGAATTCTATTATTTTCTTGAATACTTTCATTATCAGAAAAGTCATCATAGTCTTCGTTGAATTCATGTTTAAGAGCATCACTTTGGACAGAGCTTCCATTCTGATTAACAATATATACTTCTGATTCATCTTTAATGTCCTATAAAAAAATGGTAATTCATTCTTTTCCCCTTTGAGAATATAAATTGAAACTAGGGAAACTATCCTATTTTAGTTGTATGTATGTATTGTTGTATCTATGTTTTAATGAGTAAAACGCAAATACACATTGATACACTGAATATTCATCATCATCATTTCAGCCTGTTTGAGCCCACTGCTGAACATAGGCCTCCCCCATAGACTGCCATGAAGTACGATCCTGAGCCACCTGCATCCATCGACTTCCCGCACATTTACACACTGCGATGGCCAGTACGAGGCTGCCACTCGAGAACCTTTCTTCCCCAACGGTTATCGGTTCTACAAGCTATATGGCCAGCCCATTGCCACTTCAGCTTGCTAATCCTCTGAGCTATGTCGGTTATCTTAGTTCTACTGCGGATGACTTCGTTACGAACTATCACGCAGAGAAATACCGAGCATAGCCTGCTCCATAGCTCGCTGAGTGACTTTGAGCTTCCTCATACGGCCAGCAGTGAAGGACCACGTCTCGGTTCTGTAGGTCACTGAATATTAACAACTTAATATTAATGAAGTGTGATTTTGAGTCCATAGTTTCCTACAAAATAATTAAGTAATCCAACTATATTGTTCAATATTGATGTATTAAATATATTTATCTCACATATCTTTCTTTCTTTATCTCACATGGATGGGGTCAGTACATAAATATGCTGTTAATAGAACTGGCCTTAATTCAACCCTCCTTAGAAATAAATAAACATCCCAGATATGCATGTGAGAATTGAACCCGAGAGGCAACAAAGTCTGCAGCAAGCCACCATATTTTTATCACATGTATAAATGAAAAATAATTAATTATTAGAGGATATATAGGTAAGGAGCCGTGATAGCTCAGTGTCCGGGCACTCGCCTTTAATTCAATATGCTCGAGGAACCTGAGTTCAATCCCCGGTGCCGGCACCAATGAAATTGTCAATTTTAAGTGCTGAATTATCACATACTCAGCGGTGAAGGAAAACATTGTGAGGAAACCTTTATATTTTCGAAATAATAACAAAAAAAAAATATTTCGAAAATATGTGAAGTCCATCAATCCGCAGTGGGGCCGCGTGGTGGACTATGTCCTAATACCCTCTGTATAGAGGAGGCCTTTGCCCAGCAGTGGGGATGTATAGGCTGATACTTTATATAGGTAAGAGTCAAGTGTTGTTTATTGGAGTAAATGAACTTACTTGACAAACAGCATTGCTCATAAAGGATTCAGAGATAATACATTTAGTCCGGAAGTCCATAAAACACTTAATTGTTTGCCAACAGTCGGTGCATAAATAGTGTGACAATCTATCTTGCAATGATACCTGTAAAAAATCCACTATTTATTTGTGCGAAGAAAGCACTGTTTTATATATTATTTAATCAATAAGAAACAGTAGTAACATATATTAGGTATAAAAGATTAATAACAAAACGCTTGGTAACTAAATAACTAGTTCTTAATTTACCTCTAAATTGGTAAGTAACTTATAATTAACAATGAACATTTCATCAAAAGGCACCATTTCTTTATTTATCGTCAAGCACGCTCTGCACATTTCCATGTTTACATTCTAATTCTACAAATAGGAAACCCTTAGTTAATCCGCAATATACGTAAAAACCAACACAACAAACAAATTGTCACAATATAGAAGTGGGCGATACAAATCGTATCAGATATGAAAACTAGATATTAGTACAATATCCCAATATCGCTTACTGGCTCGTTCAATATCTATGTATTTTACAATATCTGATATTTCCGAAATCTGATGTACCGTGCTCGCTCGCTATACCGACCCGAATCGCGATACGGCGATATCATACGCGTTTGCCACAATATCTGATTTTTAAACAGATTTCGAGAGACAAAGCGCGTGAGATACAAATACTCACTAGTTAGAGTGGGACAGCAAGCAATGCACGATATCAGATATTGAGCGACAAAGCGCGTGAGATATAAATACTTACTAGTTAGAGTGGGACGGCAAGCAATGCACGATATCAGATATCGAGCGACAAAGCGCGTGAGATATAAACACTTACTAGTTAGAGTGGGACGGCAAGCAATGCACGATATCAGATATTGAGCGACAAAGCGCGTGAGATATAAACACTTACTAGTTAGAGTGGGACAGCAAGCAATGCACGATATCAGATATTGAGCGACAAAGCGCGTGAGATATAAACACTTACTAGTTAGAGTGGGACGGCAAGCAATGCACGATATCAGATATTGAGCGACAAAGCGCGTGAGATATAAACACTTACTAGTTAGAGTGGGACGGCAAGCAATGCACGATATCAGATATTGAGCGACAAAGCGCGTGAGATATAAACACTTACTAGTTAGAGTGGGACGGCAAGCAATGCACGATATCAGATATTGAGCGACAAAGCGCGTGAGATATAAACACTTACTAGTTAGAGTGGGACGGCAAGCAATGCACGATATCAGATATTGAGCGACAAAGCGCGTGAGATATAAACACTTACTAGTTAGAGTGGGACGGCAAGCAATGCACGATATCAGATATCGAGCGACAAAGCGCGTGAGATATAAACACTTACTAGTTAGAGTGGGACGGCAAGCAATGCACGATATCAGATATTGAGCGACAAAGCGCGTGAGATATAAACACTTACTAGTTAGAGTGGGACAGCAAGCAATGCACGATATCAGATATTGAGCGACAAAGCGCGTGAGATATAAACACTTACTAGTTAGAGTGGGACGGCAAGCAATGCACGATATCAGATATTGAGCGACAAAGCGCGTGAGATATAAACACTTACTAGTTAGAGTGGGACAGCAAGCAATGCACGATATCAGATATTGAGCGACAAAGCGCGTGAGATATAAACACTTACTAGTTAGAGTGGGACGGCAAGCAATGCACGATATCAGATATTGAGCGACAAAGCGCGTGAGATATAAACACTTACTAGTTAGAGTGGGACAGCAAGCAATGCACGATATCAGATATTGAGCGACAAAGCGCGTGAGATATAAATACTTACTAGTTAGAGTGGGACGGCAAGCAATGCACGATATCAGATTTTTAAACAGATATTATGAATAAGTTAAGTAATTTTGAATCTTAACACCATGCAAATAAGATCCGTTTCATTTAAATACTAATCTTGGTATCAGCGATTACTACAACGATATTATTATATTTTTATTGTTTTGTTTAGCCTTGAGCCGTAACGGGCGACAAAGCGCGCAGTTAAGTAATTTTGAATCTTAACAGCATGGAAAAAAACTCTGTTGCATTTAAATACGAATTACGGTATTAACGATGTCTTTGAAATTTTGTTCAGCCTTGAGCTGGATTGCATTGGTACTTAACACGTAATAGTAAGGGATGCCAACTTACTACTTAAGAATTTTCTGCCTAAATTAAGGAAGAAAAATATACAATGTAAATTTTTTAGGAGGTAAATTTTTTGTGAATATTTTTATTAGCTGAATTTTATTCATATATAATTTAATAGTGCTGTGCTGCTTTGGTGGAAATCAGACCAAGGCTTATGTGCCTTGTGTGTATATTTTTAATTTTTCCGCCCTAAGCTATAATACTGAATGTATTATTTTTTACGCAAATAAAAAAAATATTGCCCCTCGATTGCGTGTTCTAAAAATATGTTAAAGTCAATTATTAAGCGGTATATAACATGTTATTTATATTTTTTTTTTTTTTTTTTTTTTAGAATTCTATTAATCAACGTGGATAGGGAACCGTAAAATATCTAGATATTAAAATACATAGTTTCGAAATCTGATATTTGAAATCGATATCGGATTCAGATACGGTACTCAGAAAAAGCGATACGACCCATCCCTATCACAATACTAATCTTTGCACACTACTCACAATTCCTAGGTCAAAACTCAAAACATGAAAACACTAGCGATGTAGCGATGGGCGTTGAATTGAATTTAAATCAACGAACTAGTTAAATCAACGGTTGATATTTGGCAACATATTAACGTCAGCCCGCTTAAGAAATTATGTCGTTTAGTAAAATCGACTCGTTAAACGCAAACATAACGTACTGAATAAATTGAAAAACTTTTTTGAATTAGAACTCTAACGCCCGTTTTTTGAAACACTAATGGTGATGAAATCGTAGAAATCAAATAATCAGCTGTCAAATGGTTTTTCAAATGTCATTTGAGTTTCCAAAAGGGTTGTTAAACTCTCTGAATTTATCAGAATGATATTCTTAATGATCAGAATGATCAATTCAAAGAGTTTAACAATCCTTTTGGCAACTCAAATAACATTTGAAAGGCCATTTGACAGCTGATTAGTTAACTTCTACGATGATCAGTGTTTCAGAAACCGGACGAAGTAACGTACTCGAAAACTTTAAAGGTGGCAACGCATTTGCAAATGTCCATGGGCGGCGGTTATCACATAACATCATGTGAACCGACAGCTCGTTTGTCACTTTCTCGCATAAAAAAAACAAGAGTTCATATTTATTTGACATATTTTTTAGGAAAAGGATAACGATATTCGTAGGATTGGCACTCAACGGTAGCACTGATTCCATGAATTGTTTCTTTACTTTCAAGAACGCGAAGAATGTTTAGCTTTGCTTTCTTAAATTTGTTTGACAGTTGTGCACAAGGTCAGAGATTACCTTTTTAATTGTATAAAATTGTATAACTATTAATCAGTCCGCCGATTTAGATTCTTTGAGTGTGTTAAATAAATTCACAGCGTTAGATAAATTCCATTCATTCATGCAAATTGACAGTAACACGCTAACTAGTTGAAAAACGTTAATCAACGTTAAAGTTATGTTGATGAAAAAACCTTCAACGAGCCATCGCTATAAAACACTGCGGCGTACCTAGTGCGTTGCGTTGTCAACAAGAGAGTTAATGATGTATTATTATTAGTAATTTTAGATAAGACATATATACTGGTATAAGACATATATATGTCTTTGAGAGTTACTCTATTACTAAAAGATTTTTTTGTCCGAATTTTTTGTAGGTGTTTTATGACGGCGGCTTTTTCGGAAGAGATCGACATTTTTTGGACGATACATTGATAGTTCGATATTATATCGACGGCCATTATTTTTAAAATAAATTTTCATCTAATAAATTATTCAAACTTTATGATCGTCACAAACATAACTTATTGTACTTCATTGACATTATACAATTATTCTAAAATTTTGGATCTATAATAAGTAGATACTTTATTCCCTTCGTATCAGAAATAGCTGGTAAATGTTTGATTGATCTACAATTAACCTTTTAATGTCTTAAAATCGTAGTAGGTAGTAAAACTGCTGAACCGATGAAACGAAATCGTGTTTAATTTAAATTAGACAATCAGAACCGAAAAGTATACTACAGATAGTCTTATTTAAATTAAATACTAATTAGAGACCTGTACCTTAACGTTTTCATTTATTTAGAATTTTATTTGATCAATAACTTTATTATACATACTTTAACGAACACACAGCTGAGCGCACTTGAGGCGAGTGCGAGGTACCCAATACGCAGCCACACGATACCCCGTGAACGTGTAACGTTAATTAAGAGACTTTATTTTCATATATTGTTTCTGAAAATTGATTCTTTTCGTTTATACGTATAAATTAGTTGTCTGTTATCTAGGGCCATCAACCCATCCCCCTTGATACCTAGCCGTATTGTCCAAGATTCGTTAACAATACCTATGTATTGTACTTTAACAGTTCTATGGCTGTTAAAGTACAATAGGGCTAAATAAATTATCAATACATGGCATAATCATACGATTTGTGTAAAAAGTTTTTATGTGAAGAATTAGGGAAATTATGACATACTGACATAAAAATATAAGAGATTATTTCATTCTTATTATAGTGAGATCACCAAAATGCTTTATTTTATTTTTCGAGGGGACTGAATACGAAAGAGGAGTGACACGCGATTAGAAGCGTCTTTGGGGTTAATAGGAAAAAAGAACGAATGATTTAAGTTTCTAGCAAAGCAACAAAGGGGTTACCTACCGCTCTCGTTCGAATTAGCGTTGTAACAAAATACTTGAAATGGTTTGTGTGCTATAAAATACAATACAATAGGTGATCCAAGCATTGCTAAAAATTCGAAAAAACAGTGTAGATAATCTACATTGAACTTTTCGTCGGTATTTAGCTTAGTGGTTAAAGCGTCTGGGCGCGAATCCGGAAGACGTGGATTCGATTCCTGCATCAGTGAAAAATTTTCCGGCATTTTTTATACAAATTTTAATAGTGAAGAAATTAACAAAACGGTTTAATCATTTTATTTATTTTCAAAAAATTTAACATTATCGAAGTTAATTAAATACTGCTACTATCTTCAGGTTTAATTCTTTTGTTGATCAAATATTCATGTACCTTCATATGTTTTTTGAGATTGGAGTTACCTGTGAAGCTCTTTTGGCAAATTTTACAAACGTAGGGACGCTCTCCTGTAAAGAGATAATTTAAAAGTAAAATTTGGTTGATGACGTGACTTAAATCTATCGACACACACGTACCGTAGAGTACCTATACCGGAAATGTAGATCATGTGTGCTGATTTGACTTCAATATCAATCCAGTTTACATTTTAGATAAGCTTAGCACGTCAACACAAATAATAAAATAATATATACATAATTAATGAACGAATGAATGAATACAATTTTATTGTGCACCACAAATGAGAGTATACATAAGTGACAATAGAACAACATAAAATACATAAGGTACAAATGCCCCGATTCGGAACATTTTCTTGAAGGGCATATTTTTTCGAACCCACAAATATCTTCGTAATTGCACCACGCGTGCTTTCAAGTCCCCCAGACAATTCGTCCATAGGCCCCTGAACGCATTGGACCAATGTGCTATTTTGGCCAACGTTTGTGACAAGTCGTAGTTGGCGCGAACGTTGGCCGGCTAGCCGAATTGTGTCGGTTTTTTGAGCACACATCAAAGGGGCCCGTCTATTAATCACGTGATGTTTTTTTTATTTCGCATTTTTTAACCCCCTCCTCTCCCTTGGTGATACTTCGTGAGGTTTAAGACTATCCCCCCACCCAAAATCACGGTTATTCTTTAGTTTTTCTACAAAAAATCCTAAAATTTTTAGAATATTTACGATAAATAAAGGTATTAAGCATCATTTAATTTTATTCTGAAATTAAGGACCATGATAAAAATGTAACGGTGAGTCAAGGTCAACACTACATGCCAAAAAATAAATACACGTGATATCTTAATACACGCCCCCTCTTGTAATATTTCGTCATTTTTGCCAAACACGCTGATATCTTCACGCGTTACAATGAGGAGTTAACAAATGGGTGAATAGCTATACACCGCGAACGCAAACGTTTTGGCCCAATGTGTACAGGAGCCTCATGACATAACTATCTCGAAATACTTATTGAACAACTTTATCTTATAAAACATATATTACAAATTAGAATGTCACATATTCAGTATGCAAATATTAATTTTTCGTTTAATTTTTTCCATAAAACGGTTTAATTAAGTTTTAAAATGTATTTTTTTTTAAATGTTTAATGAACGTTTCTAAATGTGTTCAGAAACATAATCCTACTTGTTTGGACTGGGTTTGACTATGGTACCTGTGTGGATGCGGCGATGTTTCTGGAGGACAGTTGCCGAGTAAAATTTCGCCGGGCAGTATTCGCAGTGTTTAGTGCGAATTCCGTCGTGTCGATCTTTGTGCACCTGTAGGGCTGTTTTAGTTTTATACGTTGCGGGGCAACGGTCGCATTTATGACGCTTCTCCTCTCCATGAGTCTCCAAGTGACGTGACATCTGTTTTAAATATAAGGAGTGATGGCGATATTCATTCAACGGTTATTCGATGATCGAAGGTTCTTTAGTCCAATAAACGAGGTATAAACTTAATTGCGCCTCTCAAATTCGTCCTTGTCGTTGCACAAAACAAAATATATCATAAGCCCTGAAGGGAATGTAATGCTCTCTCTATCGCAATGTAATTGAAAACATTTTCCGTCTTGATCCCTGTACACGTTGTTGTATAGTAGGGAACGAATTGGTTATTCAGGTTTGTGGTCATATTAGATTTTATAGATTACCGTGAAGGTGAAGAAGTTGCAGAGCAAACTTTAATCAAGCACATTTTAACTTTGCGCGGACCTTACAATTAAGTACTATTAAACAAGCATAGAATTGGGTAAATAAAAAGTACAAATAGTACTTCGAAAACTTACGCTTGTCGCTATATTAATTTTTGTGCCGCATATAGGACATAACTTCTTCTCCTGCGTACATATATGCTCGTCGTGTTTCTGTTGATTTTGAAACACCCTTTTGCAATTTTTACATGGAAACTTTTTCTCGGCATGTAGTCTTATTTGATGATCCTGTTTGAATTAACTCACTATTATTAACGTAACAAAAAACGATGTGGAACAGTGTTGGTCTTCATTCGACTTTTGTTGAATTATCGATTTTTGAACATTTCATGCAACGAAATTAAATTTGACTTATGGAGGACTTGGCTTAATTGGCTGAAGTCTAGGATCATCCATTAATAACGTGAGGCTTTAAGCTTAAAGCTCACAAAGTATCTATGCTACAAAATACGTGATTAACGGTGGTAGGGCCACGCAGCAGCCTCGGCTGTTCACCAATGGGCAGGCTCGTCCGGGTAAGTACCACGACCTCACAGAAGACCGGCGTCAAGTGGAAGTATAATACTTTCGCGTTTCGTTTGGTGAGTGAGGCAGCCGGAGCCTAATTTTCAAAAGGTTGTCAACGCATCTGCAACCCTCGGGTGCAGCAGATGTCCATGGGTAGCGGTATTAACTTAACATCAGGTGAACCGCCTTGTTCGTTTGGCAATCTTTCACATAAAAAAATCGAACCCTTTGGAGAAAGTCAGGAGTGTACTGTGAAAGTTTTGAGCCCCTGACGCGTATGTATCGGAATGTTAGACGGACTGGAGAAGGGTCGTATTTGTATACTAAAATTTAAATTACGTACCTTAAGCCTGTCATTATTCTTACATGAATACCCGCAGACGTCGCAAAGATATGCTTTATTTACGGTGTGAGTTAATAGATGTAATTTCAATTTCTGTTTGTTGTTAAATCTGAAAATGTAAACATATTGGAAATTGTATTATTAGGATATAAACCTTACTTTAACCTAATTTTGTACTACTAAATTGTTTTTTTATGTAAGAAGATGGCAAGTACATAAAGTGAAACTGACGACCATGGACATTTGCAACTTCTGTAGAGTTGCAGATGCGACCTTTTAATTAAGTGGGCGGCTCCAGTTACCTTATTCACCAGACGAAACGCACAAGTATAACACTTCTAATTGACGCCGGTATTCTGTGAGGTCGTGCAACAGTGAAGACTGTTGCATGGCCCTACCACAGTCCGACTACAGATATTTCTGTAAATAAATTACTTACAATAAATAGTTATTTTTTAACTAAAACATACATTTCTTGGATCATTTTTTGTTTTGATGTAAGTGATCTTCATTATTTTATTTTACTTTATTATGTAATTGATAAGAATAAGTGCACAAGGTTTTTTAAATTGTTGGTTACCTTTTTACATATGTACTTTAATATTTGTATGTTTATTATTTGTATAAAAATTATGAAAAAGTAAAAACCTATCATGTGTAACCTTATAAAAGAACGAGATTGTTTTCATTTCCAAAACATCTGGACATATTTTTGATAGTCCTCACTAACAGGATTATCCCAAAACTGTTAGACAATGCTTGTGTGTTGCAATGTGTTGCTTCGGCGAAACCCGTCCACAACTTCCATGGCTTAACCCGTCCAGTAAATCTCTACATACAGCGCCTTAAATACATGGAAATATTAAGTTACAAGGTTCTAAATAATCTTACGATATAGAGCAGTGATTGCAAATTAATACTTTGCAAGAATGTAATCTCCAAATGTGTTTCTGCAATTTTTTAGGTGTTTCGTAGCTGCGTTGGCACTGGTTACATTTCAGTTCCAATCTCTGAAATAGGATAGATTAAGATGAAATTAATTTTAAGGGTAATATAAATAAACACCTTGTTTTTGCATTACATCCTATCCTAATTACATAAAAATTTTAATTTTTTATAGCGTTAATCTCTGCAATTAGGATTAGACATTACAATTTGTAGAAAAAGTACGAAAAGATAGTCGCCGCTGTGGGAATCGAACCCACGTCTTTGGCATTCGCGGCCTGACGCTTTAGCCACTAAGTTAAACGACTGATTGCCACATTGCTTTTTTTAGTGTAGGTATTTCGATAACTGCATGTGGGTATTTGTAAATCATAATGTGGGAACTAAACACCGAAGAAAGCCCAGTCTTGGTTCACTCATGCTCGTTGATTAACGGGTCCAATTTATCCAACCCAAACATTATACATTTGAAGCAATGCTTGGCGCATCCATTGTTATATCCTATCCAGCATACAAATAATTTCGAATATCGTTACAACGATAATTCGAAAGAGAAATGATGCCATTGCTTTTAGAAATTTTCCGGCAAAGGCCGCGTATGCCGAAGACGTTCGATTGCCGGTTCGATTCCCACAGCGGCGATAATTTTTTCGTACTTTTTTTTACAAATTTTGATACATAAAAGTTATTTACATACAGAAAAATTGTAATATTTTTACACGCTATGATATGATATTTAATCATACGCGCGCATCAGCGTCAAATCAATTAGGAGCTGAAGAGGTTGTATGGCCCAATTCGGTCGGAATAATCAATAAGGTATTATAAATTTAAAAATATGATGTTATAAGTCAATAGAAAATACATACATACAATATGAGAAATTTATAGAGGATTTGTAAAAACTTTTGAGATAAAAAAATTTAAAAATTTACATACAACTCCATTGTAATGCATTTTTCTATAATGGAATTCCATATTTATATGGGATAAATAATATTTAGAGCATATATGACATCTTCTTTGTTTTTCCGGAATGTGTTTACACCTGTGGCTAAGTATCTCAGGCCAATCACAAAAGGTTTCTTCGCACACTTCACACAAATTGTCATTTTTGTGACTTTCCAAATGCTGAAACAACTCTTTTTGTTCCAAATAAGATTTCTTACAAATACCTGAAATAACAAAAACTGAGTGTTGTTGTACTTTTTCAAATAATTCTATTTACTTTTTTGTAAATAATTACCACATGGCATTTTCACAACACCTTTATTATTGTCAATTTGTACCAAAGGCTTCATCATTTTACATTTTCTTGATTTCATTTTTAATCTGCATTTTGTCTCTGAAGTTTTAAAAAAACTATTTTAGATAATTCAAGGACACGAAATAAAAATATTTAATGCAAATTGATCTAATCACCTTCAGAAGATATATCTTTTGTAGAGTAAAATTTAGGAATGCTATTCATTATTTGTTCCAGTTGATTTCTATTATCTTTTTTAGTACTTTCATATTTATCATCAGATTCTTCTTTCAATTCAAAAACATCACTTTTCAGAGAGCTTCCATTCTGATTGGTAGTAATATCTGTTTCTGGATCATCTTTAATACACTGAAAAAACAATATTGTAAATTAAGAGGTAACTTTGGTAAGTACAATAATCCTTCACAATGCTTCATTGGATATTTAAAGTTCTTTTCAGCCTTGGCAGATCTTTGCAAATCTTATTCTGGTTTGTTTAAGACTTAGCTTTAGAATATTAATAAATATTATACTTTAAAAGTTGCAGTTTTTGCAACATTCTTTGAATGTCATCTGAAAATAGCCTAACTGGTATTATTTAATAAAATAAATTAAAAAAAAAACATTCTGTCATAGTTTAGTTTTTGTGTTCAAATTATTGATGACCAAAATAATAATTACTAAGTAAAAATTATCAAAGACATTTAGGTTTTGAAATAAAACAAACATTACATTTTTCCATTTAACACTAAGGAAATTCACCAATATGTTGTGTACAACATTTATTTTCACTAATTTTAAAAATGAACGGACATTTTGTACTTTGTTATACGGGATACTTAAAATAACACTTATTACTACTTAGGTGTTAGTGACACTGAGTCGCTCCACTAAAAAAAATATACCACAAATGAACCTAGCCAATTGGTTTAAGATAAATAAATTTTGAACCTAATTTATTCTAGTTTATGACAAATCTCGTTCAATGGTTAAGTTTCTCTGTTCATTAAAAATATTTGTCAGTGAAAAAACTAACAAGCTCCTAATGTAAAGAACTCGCTATTTCATCAGAGATTATTAGGATAGTAATAAAATATTTCAGGATACAGTTTTGCACAAAATTTTATAGTGTATTAAGCAGTGCTTGTACTATGGATACTACATAACTGATAAACAAACTTAAATATACTTTTCTTTTGTAAATAAATTCATATTATAAATACATAAACACCCAGACACTGGAAATATACTATGATCATCACACAATATTTTTCCAGTAGTGGGGATCGAACGCACATCCTCTAGGCCAATTGGATAAGTTAATTTGGCCTTTCTTGATTTTCATATAGCCAACAGGTACCAAAGATTGTACAGCTCCTCAATGATAGTACGGTCAATGAACTTACTTGATAAACAGCATTGCTCATCAAGGTTTCAGAAATAAAACATTTAGTCCGGAATTCTAAAAAAGACTTTACTGTTTTCCAGCAATCAGTACATAAAAAGTGTGACAATCTATCTTGCAATGATACCTGAAAACATACACTATATATTTCTAATGTTGAGGTTCACTAATGTAGGAATACTAATATAATATAATTAAAAAAACCAATTTTTTTTTAAACTATAAAAAGATAGACACGCTTGATAAAAAGTGCAGGGCTTAGTACATCAAAATTATATTTATTTTGGAACATAGAGTTATTAATAGTAATTTTTAAGTCACCTTTAAGTTGGTAAGTAACTTATAATTAACAATAAGTATATCATCAAAGGGCACCATTTCATTACATATCGCCAAGCATGCTCTGCATGTTTCCATTATTTAATTCTACAATATCATATATTAAATCTATGCTTATGAAGTTTTTACATTTTAATTTGTAGGTCATACTCAAACCCCTTGAGTAAGGAGTTTGCTATAAATCTATAGTTGTATTGAATTAATAGGAATTCACCGGAGCTGGAGTCTGCAGTAAGTAATAATAAACAAAATTACTAAGTTACAAGTTACAAACAAAACAAACACAAACTGACGTTTACGGTTTCAGTCAGTATATAATTATGTCTTATCTATGGTTTACTTACGATGATGTCAACTGTGGTTGTCAATGGTAACAGTAACAGCAGTGACCAGTGTTAACAGTTCTCCTGTATAACTGTACATTATTAGTCTTTTAAACACTTGCCGATGAAAAAATAATTGGGTTGTGACAAAAGTGTTAACAGCAATGATAAAATGATATAATAATTGTACTCCAAGATGCTCGAATAAAAATCAATTTATTAACAGAGAGAATATCTATCTTTGATGAAATCTTAAAAGCCAGAGCAAGATGGGTTCTACGGTTGCTCTTACCACCGAAGCAACAAGCGTAAATCGTAAGTTGTAAAGTGTTGTTGGAGCTAAAGCTCCACAATAAATTGTGAAAATCTTACCAGTGTTTATGATCTTATCATTATCGGACACCGGAGATGAAATTTGAGTCCATCACTACAACTCTGAAAGCTACCATGAGTCAGTGTAGTGGCTCAAAATTGGTGTAGCACCTCTGAAGAACTTCAGAGTTACGTAATCGTTCGTAAAACACATGGTCACTATATTCTGGAACTCGAAAGGGATTTTGCTTATTGAATACACCGGAAAAGGTCAAATTATAACGAACGTACAAACTGCTAAGGGTAAGTTGAAGGGAGCAATTAAAGAAAAAGCAAAGAAAACTGATGACGGGTGTCTTTTTTTTATAAGGAAAAGGAGGCAAATGAGCAGGCAGTTCACCTAATGGTAAAAGTTCACTATCGCCCATTTAAACTCGCAATATTAGAAGAGTCACAAATGATTAGCTTCATAAATAAGAATAGGCTCTGTTCTTGAAGCTAGTCCGTAGAAATCTTCGTATCAGTCCAGAAATACAGTTGCTGATAACTGATTCCACAATATAGTTGTGCGTGGCAGAAAATTATGAGTAATACGCACAGTAGTAGTCCGCCTACTATATGCGAGGTGGTAGCGATGGTATTTGGTAGTTTGACCGTCTCGTACTGTGGGGAAATTCAGTGGCTTGCTCCTCGTCGTCAACCATGCTTCGTGGTTTCCTGGCGCCTAGTTACAAACTTTGGTTCCTGAAGTTGAAAATAAGATCTTCGTGAAAAACGATTTTCCAACGATGAGCGCAAGACGGCCATGAAGTAACTGATAAACGATCTTTTTTCAGAGAACGGTAAAAGTTATTGTTTCAAGGATATTGAAAAGATGATTTAGCGTTGTAAGAAGTATTTTGAGATTTCAGGGGAATATATAGAAAAATTAAATTATTTCAGATTTTTCTGCCTTTTCTTTCATATTCATACCGAGAACTTTGAACTTGAAGCCTTGTAACTTTCAAATCAGTTTCAGAGCACTAGAATTAACAAAAAAAAATCTTGTCTAACAATGATTCACTCACTCTTAATTTTCTACCTAACCTACTACTTTCGTCATTCGTTCCTTTTCATTCGAGGGCGGAACGTCAAAATTATGTCGTAATATTGATTGTGCAATGAATCTCTGTTTATTTGATGATATTATTGAATTGTCATACATATCGAAACCTTGGCGAAATAAAAGTGATAATGTGTTGAAGATATAAAAAATGTGCGGTCTTTGACGTTTTGTTTTATCAGTCGGTATAGTCATAAACAATAGGGAAATAAATATAGTTTGCTATACATTTAACAAGTCAATTAATACAAATAAATTGTAACTATGGTGGAAAACGGTGGTTCCAGTGGTGGAAGCGAGAGTCCAAATGCGACGTGCGCACGCTCAGGATTGTTGGAGACTTTAGTGCGAGGTGTTTGGTACCGCGTACATTGTTCTTTGGAAGATGATTACCTGAGCGTATCTTTAGACGACGGCTACGACGCAACCACCACTCTTAATGGAACATTAAATAACAATAATGTAGAAACACCAAACAGTGATTTCACAGAGGTTCCTGAAGCTATTGCGAATCAGAAACGTCTGGTGCAAGTTGTAAAATCTGACAATAATGGTTTAGGAATATCTATTAAGGGTGGAATAGAAAACAATATGCCCATATTGATATCAAAAATTTTTAAAGGCATGGCTGCTGATCTTACAGAACAATTGTATGTGGGAGATGCAATTTTGTCAGTCAATGGTGAAGACCTTAAAGATGCTACTCATGAAGAAGCTGTAAAGGCCTTAAAAAGAGCAGGAAAAATGGTGCAGTTAGAAGGTAAATAGACTAATTGCTCATTAAACTATCTCTGTCATTACATATAATTATCTCTGTCTTCACATGTTTAGTATTTAAGTGCTCCAACACAGCTATTTCAATTGATTTGACCTCTTAATTAGGTTCAATGTGATAAAGGTTGGTCATTGGTTACTTTTTGTGTGTGTTTATGAAATTTCATTCCATAGAATAATAAATACATATACAATTATTATTAAATGTTATGTTGTTTATATATATTTTTTAAAATTTAAACTTATTAGTTAGATCTTTAAAACTACAGAACGCATCTGTATGCATTTTTTTTCTAGATAGAGTGATTCAAGAGGAATGTTTATATGTATAGTACATTGCACCCGTGCGAAGCCGGGGTGGATTGATATTAAATAATAAAATTAATATTCTTACAAGTTAAATAATGCTACTATTTTTTAATAGCTTCGATACCTATAATCAATAAATAGATCAATAATGCCTAAATAAGGTGTAGTACAATATTCAATCTATGTCTATGTAAATTGGCCCTTTCTATGTGAAATGTACACAAAGTTTATAATTTTAAAATCTGTGGGTAGCCTGGGTTACTACTGATAGACATTTTACCCCTCGGTCTGTCCCATGGACCATGAATGCTATAAAGTATTCAAAATATTGGTAATTAAAATTCAAAATGAATGCAATGAATAATTTGTAAAATGCAAGTAGTCAATAAGATTATTGTTGTTTCTGTCAAAGTCTTAAAGAAAGACTTATGAATATTAAAAGATTTTACAATTTTAATTTTAATAGAACTTTTTGTTACTTTAAAAAACTTAAATATTATCTATAAAATATGAATATTATCTTATAAATAACAAGAGAAAATTCCTTTTTCTGTTTTCAATATTGGTTCTCACTCTTGGACTCCAGTATACATTTTCATCAGTATTATTTGTAATGCCATAGACTCTAAATTATTTCCAGCATTTAACTTGTGTATTATTAGGACAATAATTTGCTTTCCTTACTTCAAGAATAGGATGTTGGTTCATGTGGTGTTTACATCCACATAATTACTCAATTTCTATCTTATCTTTTAAGAAGAAAAATTCTTATTTTTTTAATACTCATACAGCATCTTTGTTTCCTTTAAAAAAAAAATTATAAAGCGGCATCTTATCGTCTTTACATCATATGAGATGGATCCCTATTAGGCATGTTTTATAAATTAGTACACTTATCATCAGTTTAGATTGTAGAAAGTCCATAGTTGACCATATGTACATAATTATAATCATAAAACGGCACCCAGATGACTGGAGTGGAGCACTGTGCAGTAAAATGTCAAAGAGTATGCAATTATTATTCCGAAGTTGACTAGTAGCTCTAGTTTTCCTATAAACTCAGTGTTTTTGATTCGGATCTGGGTGTTGGTCCACATGAAAATGATGTATGTAAAAGGTCCAACACAGGGTAATGTTATACTACAAGTAGCAAAGGTCAACATTTTAGAATGGAAGACTGCAATAGATCTTCTAGGTAGTTGCAGTGGCCATTGAGACCTAATGAAAATAAATCCTACAATTTATAATTGTTAACTTTTTATCTTTACATCATTACATAATATAAAATAAAGTCATCCTGCCTGTCCCTATGTATGCTTAGATCATTAAAAGTACGGAACGCATCTGTATGCGTTTACTATCCAACGCCTTCCACACAAAATGCGAAGTACAAAAACCACCGCGTTGCAGTGAAATACTTGCGCGAGGTGACCCCGTACTTCCGGAAGGCGTCCATCATCAGCGAGGTGGGGTGGGAGCTGCAACGGGGCTACATGATGGACGCGCCCCCGTCCCCGCCCTCCCCGCGCCGCAGACGCGCCGACACCCGATACGTGCCACTTCTGATGGCGTGCGTTGCGAAGAACCTGCGGCATCACGACCCAGGTGAGTAACCTACAAGGGAGTCACTGGAATGGAAGCACCGACCGTGGGAAGAGTCTCGGTAAGAGCTGAAAATTGTAGGGTCAAAAGCTACGCCGATAGTACCATCAAAACTCTACTGACGAACGTCAGTTTCGAAGGATTTACTGTTGGGTTGAATCTTCGACAGGTGGCAGAGTATGTTGTGACAAGACAAAGTTGAGTATCGTAGACGTTAGTGTACCGTAGTTGTAACGTAGGTGTACGTCGTAGACTCAAACTTGAGTCATTGATGAAGTGACGGCTGACATCTTGAGTCGTTTCTTTTTTATTTAGTGGCAAATGAACAAGCAAATTGCCTGGTGGTCAGGGACCACCATCAACTTGCTACGGGTTACCTCATTATCTGGACGAAAATCAAAAGACGAAAAGTATACATACTTCTTTTACTTAACGCCATCTGTGAGGCTTTCCGGTCAATGTGGTCAACTCTATCTGGCGTCTTCTCCTAACCTGTTGTTACTCTACTACAAAACCATCGTCACATCAGACACTTCTAAATGGTAAATTGATGTAAGTAAGTAACAGTTGTCGGTTGTTGTTGGTTACACTTAACTTGATATATCTACTTGACTTTTTTCTGGCAGACTATCGACTTTTATCGTCTCGAGCGGTTGGCAATTTGACAGAGGCATGTGGATTGAATTATTTTCGAAAATAAAGTATATAGTAGCTATTGACAGGGGTGAAGTAACACGAATTTAGTACTTTTGGATTATTACATGTCCCACTGTCAGCCTAAATATGATGACCCCTGCAAATGTTAAACGGTAAACAGTGTAATGCTACTGCATCCTACCTTACACTTAGTTTGTTAATAAAATTTATGGGGTTTCGAACTCGTAGTAAACTAGAGGTGGACCGCTGAAATTATAACTGCATCGTATTTGAGTTTCAAGAGCCTTTTCCTTTACTAGGCAATCTGTCCCAGTTATACCTACATACGGACATTTTTGTTGGAGACTTGTTCGTTTAATATCAGCGTGTCGTTACAGCGGCGACAATAAATGAACACACGTCTAACGCTACTTGCCAATAGTCATAAAAAATATTAACGTTAAAAGAAATACATAATTAAAAAAATATATTTTTGAAACAAACTAATTAAGTAAAAAAGGAAACAAAATTTGTAACATCCTCCTATATAACTACAACTGACTGATTCATACATTCAGAGACTTTTTCATTCGTTGCCACAGCGTCGCATTACAAGCTAACAGTATGTTTTGTCTCTTTTAAATTCATTCAACCCATTGCATTCATTCTTTGTGACCTTTACAAATGAACTTTACCTTACAGTTTTATACTTAGGGTGTTCTAAAATTGTTTGTTTTGGAAAATTTAATAACTCGGTAAATATTGATGTTTAAAGAATGTAAATTTTTAATACAATTTTAAAAAGTTATCCTTTATATGTGTGTATATTTATTGTCGCGATTGTAAAGACACGCTGTATATCAGGAACGTTACTGAACATTACTCTACGTTGACAATACCAGCTGATAACATCGGTCATTAGTCATGGAAAGTTTTATTCTAACGTGTTTCAATATTTGAATGCGAATGAATATAACTAAGTACATTTAAAAGTAATTTTAAACATTTTGTAAAAGCTACCTCAACTATAATGTCTAGAATACCTAAGTTGAATTGAGAAGAATAAATTATAAGATAATAAAACCGCAGAATTTCTTGCCGGTTCTTTCCTGGAGAGGTCTAGTTTAGTGAACCGGTGGTAGTTTTTTGACGTTCAATAAGAGCTTAGAATAAGCTTATGTTGAATAATGAAATTTTGACTTTGACTTTGAATAGACGCTGTCGAAACTTAAGATTTCTAAAAGTTATTGGTAGGATAAACGAAAATGATTATTAAAGAGCGAAGCAATAATAATTTTGCCTGCAAAAAGCAAATATGTTTAAATCGCTAGTAATTTATATCATTCACTTAAAATTCATATTTTCATAAGTTATCGTTAATTGCCAGTTAACCATGAACGCAGTTAATGAGCTTCCAAATTTGTATTTCGATCAATACTAATTACGAATGGACGCAATTTCAATGATGATATAATTTCGATTCAGAGCACTGCTATAATTACGATAATTATATTTGTTTTGTAGACTTCCAATTAATTAATCTCGCCAGTAATGAATACGAATGACGATTTCGTAACGCATTTCTCAACGCTCTTTACTCCGTCGTGAGGTAAACCGATACAGGAACCTCGACAAGTGAATGTTTTAATTATAACATGGTTTTAATTACATTGAAAACCACGCGGTCCGATATATGAATAAAATGTCTTTTGTTTTCCAGCAGTTATGACGGAACGAAATTGTATATATATGCTTTACAGTATAAAGCATATATATACAATCGTGTTACTAAAATATAATAATTATAGTAGTAGTAGAGGTAACTATCAAAAACAGATTCTATTAGTGTAAAGTGTAATTATTATATTTTAGTAACACAATTTTTTACATAGGTCACGTCTTAAAAATGGTATTACTTTGGCAAAATCCTACATCTAAATTTTGTCGTGTTTCATTAATTTAAGTACAAAATTGTCCACCACGCGACCCCCCACTGCTGATTGGCGGACTTCACAATATATTTGAAATATGTGTTTTAATTATTATTTCGAAAATATGTAGGTTTTTGTCACAATGTTTTCCTTAACTGTTGAGCAAATGATAGGTCAGCACTTAACACAAATTTACAATTTCATTGGCTTCGGCACATGGATTTCAACTCGGGTCGCTCGAGTATATTGAATTAAAAGCGAGCGCCCAGACATCATTATGGCTCTTGGACCAATTAAAAAACATATAAATCTTGATAATGATGTTATATTTACGTGAATACATTACTAAATGAAACAACTTTTACGGATTTATAGCGTTTATTTTTTTCTCCTGTGTACGCGTGAAGGAACTGCGTGAAGGAACAATAGCTGACATAAAACATAAAGTAACGACTATTATGCTCTATGTAGTGTTCTATCCGACACATTTTCTGCTCCAGAGGAGCGCATTATCGAGATATACTCGCCCGACGGGGTGCACGCACTGGCTCTGCGCGCTGGCTCGGCGGGTGCGGCGGCTGGCTGGCATCGGGCGCTGCACGCGGCCGCGAGGCGAGCGGCCCGCGCCGCACTGGCTCGCGCCCGACCCCGCTTGCGTGCGCTGGTCGGGGAGGTGCGCTACGCTGGCTGGCTGGCTCGCCGACCGCCCCAGGACATTGTGAGTGTCGTGACATTGTAGGCGTTTTGGTCTTTATTTGCTGGCCGGTGAACGTTTAGTCGGGGAGATTAGGCCGCTGACTGGCTCGCTAGTCGCCTGAAGACTTGGCTGCCTCTTTCAGTGTTAAGTGGTGATTTAGCTTTTCGTCGTAATTTATAAGAGCTTGCTTTCTCACTCCTGTATTGAATGAAGTCACTCATTGGAGATTTGGACGGATGCTGGCAAATTAAAAATTAAAAATGCCTCTGGATAGATATGTGCATAGTGTATAGTCGTCTGTTAGTGGGAGGGGCAGTGAGGGGTTAATTACATTGCTTAATTAGTGTAATTGAACGTTTTCTCCTCAGTTAGTATTTACAACTCTGAAACATCAACTGTTCGCTTTCAGATGGGAGCCTCGGGCGGATCGGACAGTTCGGACGACCTGGACGGTTGGGTGCCTACCTTCGTTGCCATCACCGATCGCGAGTTGAGGTAACTGCCACCTATGTACTTTCACCAATAGCGGCAAGGTCACGAGCTTCTGTTGCACTAATGGGCAGGCTCTTCCGGGGAAGTACTACGGTCTCGCAGACTACCGGCGTGAAGTGGAAGTGTTATAATTTCGCGTTTCGTCGTGGTAGATGATAAGTGAAGTCCGCCAAACCTTTACCCTCTGACACAGAGGGTATTAAGGCAGTACAGAGGAGGCTTTTCCTCAGCAATGGGACATGTATAGGCTGCATTTACTTGTTTGTACTTTACGTTGTAACCTATACAGGTGTTTATTGCAACAACACCGATCGCCTCGGTACTACGAATCGGCTCCTGCACGCCGTAAAAAAATTCCTGCGCCCGGTAGCCGTATTCCATTCATAGCCGATTCGTCTTAACCCATCTGTTTCCGTACAGAGGTCATTGCCCCGTCTAAACGGACCGTTGCTCTATATCCGTACAGGCTGTACGAGGCGGCGCCGTGGTCGGCGGAGGCGTGGTGCGCGCCCACCGAGAGCTTCGGGCTGGCGGCGACGCGGCTCGCGTGGTGGCGCCGCGGCGGGCCCGACGAGGCGGAGGGTGGCGGCGGGGGCGGGGGCGGCGGCGGAGGGGGCGGCGGGGGTGGCGGGGGGGTGAGCGGGGGCGCGGCCGCTCTGGGGGTGCGCGCGGGCACGCCGGCGGGGCTGTGCGTGCGCGCCCTGAGGGCGGACACGCCGCACGACCTCGCCGCGGTGGCGGGCGCGCTCGTGGACGGCGCCCACCACGCGGTGAGGGCGCAGCCCGAGTTCACCTTCCGTGAGTGTCGCGTGCCGCAGACGCTATTTTTTTTGTAAAGAGAGAATGAAAGAACGAAAGAGATTTCTTTGACACAAAACAGACTGAAGTACACAACGCTCAAAAAAAGTTTGTATGTATGGATGGATTTTAATGAAACTTTACAATAATAAAGTTTATACATCAGAATAAGACATGGGCTATAATTTATATACATATTTTTTGTATATCTGTGTTTCTGTCTGAATGTTTGCCTTCAGCTTTTTCTACGCAGACGTAGTCACGGTATGTACATGAAGTATAAACCGCCAATATGTACAATTTTACCATTTAATTATTGTATGTCGTAGTTCACGCCAAAAAGGACATCACTCAGCGGAACGTTAATAACAACTGCAACACTGATTTCAGCGATGACCCAAATAATTGGGGAATACAGTCCCAAGTTCAACAGAAACGTAGCTGGTGCACGACACGAATGCACCGTCCGTTTTACTTTTTGCGATGGTCTATATACGTACTGGATTTTTGTACATGGCACCAAGCATTGTTTAATTACAATAAATAAGATTTCGAGATATTCCTCACCTGAAAATATCTTGCCCTAAATACTTAAACCCGTAAACACGCAAGTTCGGAGCGCCGAACATCATCATCATCATCCTCCCCAGATTGGGTCGCCACAATCGGGTGTGAATCATGTGTTGACTAGGTTTTTTTACGACCGTCCGACGTCAACCGTCCTCGGTAACGAACACCAATATCCTGAACACTCAAACACTTGTGCCGCTTGGGAATCGAACCCGCGACCCGCACCAATGCAATGCAGGGTGCCGGTGCGTCGACACGGTACGGTAACAAATATCCGGATCCGCAACAACTACGTGGGTGTCGGCAGGGTGCCGGTTCCGCGGCGCGTGCGCGCGGCTGGCGCTGGGCGCGGGCGGCGTGTGCGTGTGGGAGGCGGCGGGCTCGCTGGGCCGCGGCGGCGCGCGCGCCCTCTACCGCCGCCCGCTGCACGCGCTGCGCGCCTCCGCCGACGACGACCGCGCCGCGCTCTGGCTGCACTTCGCCGACGACGACACGCTGGTGCGCCCCCGCGACGCCGCCCCCCCTTACGGATGTCGAAAACATATCGATGTATCGATATTTTTGATCTTATATGTCGATACTATCGGCCGATGTAGAACCGATATATCGATTCACAAAATATTCAATATCAAAGTAAATCGTATCAAAAATGATTTTTTTTTCAAATTCGAATCAAGCACAGAGTCCGTAGGTGTCAAATATTTGATACTTGATAGGCTTTTTTTTTGGACAACGGAGTACCTAGGACCTATATCCTATATATCGATATATCGAGGCTGATATTCATATTTTTATAAATATCGATATATTTCTTCACTTTGGACATCCCCACTTATACTTCCTAACGACGTTTTGTACCCCTCTTAAGCTCCCTCTCTACTCTTTTACTTCCTTGCCAAGTATGGTAAACCCCTCACCCCAGTGTGGAATGTAGATATTAAAAAAAACACTGCTTTCGTCGTCATCACTAAACTTATTTTCATGGAATGGATGAGGAAATATTACAATGCGCGTACCTGTAAAATGAGCCACGGGGAAGGCCCGTAACATCTGTGAAAATTTTCTGAAAAAGAAATTGAGGTAGGTTTTCACCTTGCCAATTTAAGAAAGATGTCGTTTGTATGGTTAAGTTCCCTTCCAGAAATACTTGCGCAAACCGCACTTAAGCTCCAATTCTATCATCATAATGAAATACACTGTGTGCCTTACACGAATTTTAGGTTCGCGAGACAAACTCGTGTCGTAAACAGTAATAACGGCGTCTTTCGCAGGAGCTGGATATGGAAGGCAGCCCGAAGCCGGCCGTGTTCATCCTGCACAACCTGCTCTCCGCGAGGGTGCACTCGCTGCCAGGGGAAGAGGTCGCCGACCCGCTATAACGAGAGGGCGAACGGGGCGACGCCGAAGCGGACACCGCTCTAAACCCGTTCACGCACTCTAACACCACCAACGTCTAACCCCTACAGCGCATAGATATAGAGGGAAGGGGAACAATCTCTGTAAATGTTTAACAGATGGCGCTGCCGTAGCAAGTGGGTACTAGCCAGCGGTGGTGAATTAAGTTACTTTTGTTACTGGCAGCTAAAGTTCAACTCGACTAGTTGTATAAGTACTAATGTGTATACATGCGTAGTCAACTCGACTAGTTGTATAACTACTAATGTATATACATGCGTATTGCTTTTGCATTTGCTAAGCTACCGCCATTCTGTAGGGTTCGGGAACTGTTATTTAGTACTACGCTGGAAGAAAATTCCATCTTATTTCCATATGAGATTGTGCCCCTTATCTCTAGTCTATAACCGCGTCGACACTATCGAAGCCCTATGACGAAATTTTGACAGTGATTTTGTTGCCACAGTCAAAACATCGTTCAGTTTTTTTTGGTTGTAGCAACATTGGTTCAAGCTCGCTTGGAGCGCACCACTCAGACACGCGATATTGTAAAGTGTTTATTTTAAATCTTTATTTATTTAACTAGCCTGAAATCAACCGTTATTGCGATACCCTTAGAGGCATTTTATTTATACTATGCTACTATATATTTAACTTCTTTAAAAAGTTAACTTCAATAGAATTTGTATAAACTTCTGTTGCGGATTAAAAATACGCTCCACGCTCCAAGAAAGTAACTGTAAATTTGTCTTTCGTTTGCTGTGTGATGGTCGCTCTTTGTCGTTTGGTCGAAAAGAGAATGCTTGAAAAACTAAGTAAAGTATACAAACGGTTACAAAGGTCGAAAATATTTATCCAAGGAAAGCAATATCGTGTCGATGCGGTTTTATATGCAACGTTATAGGAAAAGTGGTGAAAGGAAGTGCACACTTGGGCCTGTTTACAATACACCTGCGTTAGTATTATTTCAACGAACGATTCATACCATATTTGTTTGAGCGCATCCGCGTCTCCAAACTAGAGCCTAATACGTTAAGGATTATTAAGTATTTTTTACGAGCCAGTATGGGTTGAAGCGTAAATATAGAAATCTAGATCTGTTTTCGAATTGAACAATCTCAGTCGAGTAAGTTTTTAATAATACGGTACGACCCCTTTTTTTTTCTAAAGCTGTTCCCACACCATATAAAAGCGTGGGTGCAATATGCCGCAGTGCGGAAGTAGCTTTATAAAAGTAAAAAGAAAGCTTTGAATAATTATTGTCTACCTCCCGATGATTCTTTTCGTTTATACTTCGATGCTAAATTATTTAACTAATTTTATTACTAAGTCGTTATTGCGGTAATGTTTTATTTTTGAAGTTTATTTCTCTACGTTTTAGAGTGATTATTTTGTTGATGTTTATTTCATTAATTATACTATAATTTATCGTCATTCCAATTATTGATTTACAGAGATTCATTCCTCTGTTGAACTGATTTTTATTTCTGAAGCATGTTTTTTGTGTGTTTATAAGTGGAACTTGTTTTATTATGTTACCAAAAAGGCTTTTAGGATCTGATTTTTGTGGCCACGCCAACAGCATACTTTTCCGCAATTATAATAGCATAATAACATTCCAAACGCAAGTAAGTATAATTACCACGAGGAACTAAAATCAAACTTTTAACGACCTCGCAAATGTCTGATATGTTATTATTATAAATGTATAGTGCGAGGCGTTGAATAAATTGGCGATGTCTGTTTCCATGTTTAGTATTTACTTTGACAATTTATTGTCATTTGTAGAGAGCTATGATCAGCTTTAATCAGAGTACATTTGTTATATGCTGTGGCTTGAGATGTTATCTAGATGGAGGGCTCGCTCTTAGAGAAAAATTGAATAATCATTCGGATTACTACTCATTGATATGGCAAGTTTAGTTAACGCCAGTTAACGCTAATTGCCGTCTCTGAGAGTACGGTCGTCGCGGATCCATCTAGAACGCATCAACTGCTTTAGCGTGTGACTTCCAAAGAGCAAGTATCTCGTATGAAGTTGATTTTCAACGTTTATTTTTATATGGCAACGGTTCGTTGTCAATCATGACGTATTTTTGTAATTTATCCGTTGTAAATAAGTAGATGTTAGTGATTTTTTTACGTGGTACGTACATTCCCAGAATGTAGAACAATATAAACATTTGCTTTAACTAGATAGTGTTTAACCTCATTGTAATAAGGTTTTTAATAGAGTGTACATTTGTGTAGTAAATTTGTGCGTTAGGTACGTTCGGGCAATATTACTGGTGATAATGAGTCATTTTTTAATGGTACGTATCGTTGAAGTGGTCGGGAATTAGGTTGGCTGTTACGTTTGCTCTTTTAACGCGTCTTGCGTCGAATGTTTTCTGTGAATTCCCTCCTTTTGACCTCTTTTGTATCATTTCAATGTTGGCAATGTAAAATAAGTTCATTGAGGCTTGTTTAAATCGAATCTCGATTGTTATTTTGTTAGTTTGTCTCCTCTTCTAAGTGTATTCTTTCTAATTTACTCCTTATATTCCTTTAATCAATCTCCTTTGTTAGTTTGGTTTTGTATTTAAAATGTATTTTTTATTAATAATACTAATTTAAAATATTGTACGAAAAGACTTGTAGACGGTTCCATTAATTAACTGACCGTTAAGTTAGATTAAGCGCGTTAATAAGATATTTAATCTTAATATTCCGGGTGTACATTTCTTTAAATAACCACCCACGATTTTGCGTAATCAAGAAGCCGTTTATATTTATTTTATGGCGATGAAATGGTCTAAGTGGTTTTATAAAACAACTGTTGTAAATATCAGTTCACATATAAGCTGTTTATAATACAGCACAATTATATCTCATTATTAAGCCTGATACAATCCAAAATGTCAGTATTTATTTCAATTTAACCAATAAGCATGTCATCTTGGACTATAATATCGAAAATACATCACATATCTTCCCAGAAACTAATTATATCTATCACAATTTTAGTTACCATTTTTCTATGTATTCACTAAGTACTGTAGTGTAGCATCATTAATTTCTAAGTAGCCGACTCTGAAAATATCGATTCTTGAATGAATCTGTTTCCATATCAATTTGTACGAAAATAAAAATAAAATCAATTAGTATTTAATGTACTCGTAATCTCCTAGGGTTTCTACAATTTTTTTCTGTACGCTATATAACTGAATGTACTATTATACAGTTATTGTATTTCTTAAGACTTTGTACTTTTAAAATATATGTCGGACTCTCTCATACATATAACAATTCCTGCCCTATATACTGTATTGTCAACGTTTTTTATAATGGTATCTCTCATTAGGACCTAGATTTTTGAATGTCATCTACATTGTTGTAGAAATCGATTTTACCTGATGTCATGAGAAGATTTTGCACATCACTTACCTTTCAAAATTACACCTGACGATTTTTGTACCTCGTAGTGTTGCAATTTTCAAACGAGACATTTCACTTAACGGCCGAATAATACCCTTTAAATATTATTTAATTTCGCATTCTGTATTATCAAATATATTAAATTTAATTGCAACACTGTGTACTATCTTTAAATAATACAACGACTAAATATATTAAATTGAGAATATTGATATTTTTAACATAAGGATTATATTGTTTTGTTTTTATTATTACATTATTTCAATGTCTTTCCATTTTCAAAGGCTAATAAGTGATTATGCAAACAAAATATTGTTTCCATGCGGCGGAAAGGCACCGATATTTATTTTCACTCACGCACAACATAACAGGATATTTTTTAGCTTATATTTGATACAATATACTGATGTCTCTTTCAATTATTTTTATTACATTCATATATTTATCTTTAGACAATCAAACGAATTACACACCTCCAAAAAACGAAGACTTTTTATACTGACGAGAAATCTGTCTGTTGTAAATCTGATAGGTAATGACAACGTAGTTATTTTCTTCCAAAGTGAACTTTACACTTCGAAAATTCATATTATATATATTCTTGATGATATGAATCAGCCTTTGAAAAGAGGTAATCCAACTAAGGCTTCCTAGAGTCTTTTCTTGTGTCGCACAAATCTCTAATAGAGGGAGAGACAGTGTGTGACTGAGATAGCACTCTACGAAAGCTAAAATAGCCGATTGTATCTTTCAAAAGTCGATTGCAATATTTATCGCCGAGTAGTATACATCTCATTCCAATATTAATACCTTTAGAACAACACGCTTCCTGTACCATTGTCGCAATTGGCGTGAAAGTAACGACTACACAGATGTCGCTAAAATTTACGATGCGCTTTTATATTTACTATAGCGAAAGAAAAGAATAAAGATAGGGCAAGTTGTGGAGACGGTAAATGTTTTCGTAATATTTGCGATGATGAAGCAAGTTTTGGCATTGTATATTTTCTTGGGAATATTTAATGATATGGAATATATTAATAAAGAAATGCATCTTATTCGTGTCGTAAGAAAGTTGTTAATGTTCTCTTTTCTTTCCTCAATAAAATTCCGTTAATAATAGATACAAATTTCGGCACCGACATTTACAGTTTATTTTTAATTTTAAAAATTATTGATTAAATATATATTACAATACCTTATTATTTTCCGTAAATATTGGGTTTGAGTACAGTGTTTTTTCGAATGCCATGTTGGCGACACCTCTACAGTTTCATCATCTTTATAGTATTGCATGTTGATTGAAACAAATTAATGTCAATCTGAATGCTTCATGTTTGCGATATACCAATACATTGTTTGTTAATAGTTATTATAAAGAAATACGATGTTTGTTGGATAATTGTAACGTCATTATGAGGGGGTGTGTTTTTCGGATCATTGTAATGTCTCGCATTATGAGGCACTGGTTCGGTGGCTGCGCAGTGGTATAGTATAGCATAGCGGTTGCGTCGATTTTCACACGGGAATGTATCTACTAATATACGATCTAAATCTAACTTAT